TTTTCACCCAAAGAAAATCTATGACAAAACAAGGGACATTTTTTACGCACACAAACTTCAGATTTGCCTTTACAGACAAATGCAGATAAGTTAGCGCCCTCCAGTGACAATTTTGTGCTACTAGTTTCTAGGCCTGGACCCGAATATATATATTATAATATATTTGAGATTCGAATGTTGAATTTTTTTTTTCGTGCGCCTGACCTCTGCACACAGCAGTTAATGTAACACTCCGCAAAGAGAAAACAAAATGAAGCCCTCAGCTGTGTGGGAGCACGTTAAAATCCTGTCTGCTCCCCCTTGACCACCGCCCGGCTAAACTATTCTCAGATTCTGCTCTGGACCTGCTCAGATCAGACACTTTCAGGTACAGTTCCCCCTGTTCTGCGCAGCAGCCACGAACCCGGTTCGCCACCCATCTATTTACAATCTGCCTCGCTCTTCCCCTGCTCAATATCCGATCCTTGTAACCCCGCAATAAATATTTCTCTTTTATGTAACTCCTCCCTTTCGTAGTCCTGCACTTGGGTCTGCTACCCTAGCCATAACAAAGTTTAAAACGTTAAACAGAGCTCTCTCTCTTTTTCTCTATCTCTCTCACTCACACCCATCCCCGCCGTTAGCCTATATCTGTAGCTTGTGAAATGGCAGCCTGCTTATCAACACATGTTTAAACACTCATAAGCATAACGTGGGCCGACTGCTGAGCGCTGCCGGGGGAGTATCGACTCTTCGAAGCCCAAAATATTACATTCGGGCCCGCTAGTTTCAGCTCCGTCAGTTTGATAGGTTTTTAATGGGGTTGTCTGAAGTGTCACTACCATAGAGTTTACTTACAAAAATTATCTGGGTTTGTGTTTGGAATCTAGAGTTTGAGCATCTATCCAACACCCTGTCCTTGTGTTGCCAGGGTCTTGATTTTACTGATTCCTGGCAAGATTGAAATTTTTTAATATGGTAAATTTTTGTTTTCCATCCTCTGCTCCACAGTGCCCGTCAGAAGCACAAAACCAGTAATCAGGATGAACGCCGGACTGGCTCACGCCTCATCATCTTTGTTATAGGAGGAATCAGTTTCTCCGAAATGCGTTCTGCCTATGAGGTCACCCAGGCAGTAAAGTCCTGCGAGGTCATCATAGGTGAGTGACAGACAGATAGACATGCTCCACCAGAATTGTGAAAGGGTTTTATGCTCTAATTTGGGACCTATTGGTTCTTTCTTACTTTGATTACAGGGTCTTCTCACATTTTGACCCCAACCAGTCTCCTGAATGACATCAAGGCTTTGAGCAAGGGCCCCATGGAAACTTTTACAGTAGACGAAAGGAGCAATGCCTGAGACTGGCCCTCCCACTAACGCCTCCCCAAACCTCCCCTGCCTCCCTACGTCTCATATCACTCAGCACAATGCACTCAGCTCAGCCTTCTGAATGGAAGACTAAAGGGAATTTACCTTATACTCAATCTTTTTGTTTTAATACTCTTTTCAAACCACACATGGTGCACATTTACAGTAGGTATGAGGGCAAATTCTCTTTTAACTTGGTTATTTCAATAAGCAGATTTTCTTGAATAACAAAAAATAGATAAGAAGATGGCCTGCTAAAGGCATTTATAATTTGATAATTGTCATTTGATGATATGGATCATATTAAAAGTGGATTGACTTCATCCTACTTTGAGCATTTTTAGTAAAAATTGTCTAATCTGCCTATCTGTGTTTGCATTTGTCCATAAAAGAAAATACCGCTATTGTTACATGTTGAAAGATCTCTGAGGAACAGGACACAGACTGGTGGTGCAAAGTAGTGCAAAGCTAATGTGTATATACTGTATGTAAGCACTGAGTTCCTGCTTTGTCATTCTGTTGCATAATGTAATTTTGAAGAGTGAATTTAATGGAATATTTACATTTTCTTTTTTTTTTTTTGAACAACTGACTAATAAGTGGATGAAGTGGTTCAAATCTTGTCTATGTTACAGTTAAGTCAAGTATCTTGAGGCTGAACTTGAAGTACCTTAATTAAAACCTGATTCTAAATATTCAGCTTGCGTTGATCTTAGTTAACTATACATCAAAAAGTCAGGAATGTTGTTGCAATACGAATGTTTTCAATATGTTTGCATAGGGGGACTACTTTGTTCAAAGAATGATTGGTAAAAGCACTCACACTGGTCTATCAAAGCAGCATTAAGTTAATATTCATAACCAAAAGCCCTTTTCTAAAGTTCATATAAGCTGGTGTCTAAAGACCATGCTGCACTCATACCTGCTAAGCAGGCAATGGGTGAACCAAAGGCATTATGAGGCTTCTGTAATGTTATAGGTCAAACCTTTAACTTCTAAAAGCTTGTCCCACAGAATCACTGCACAACACACAGACAGCATTTTCACTTCATCTGATCTCCCATTTCCCAGCTTGGATGTGCTAAGGGAAGTGGAAGTCAACTACTAGTCACTACTAGTTACCTGTTTATAATAGTGCTGCCCCAGAGTTAAAGCAGAAGTGTGGTAGGTATGTAATGGCAGTAAAATCAGTTAAACAGAGCTGCTGTATGTTTTCTTTGCATTTATGGTGGCACGAAAGGGCAGGACACAAATGATATGTGATTCCTCAAAACGCAAACATGATACTTGTGAGGGTATCATGTTAGTGGGAAGGAGAGCTGAGAGCTCATCAGATGTGATTAAACTAGAGAACAGGGCGACTCTTCTCCAGTGAGCCTTAAATCAGAATCACATTAATGTATTTAGGTGTACACTTGTAGTGATAAAATAATTTTATGAGCAAAGTTATGTGAACACAGGGTTTCATTCTGAATCCAGAATGAATGTGGTATTAGATAAATCTCAGAACAGTGAATTACTTTGCACCTATATAGCGAGAGACAGGTGCGTCGGAGGGGGACAGGTAAGTCAAAAGTTGTAAAGAAAACTCCCGCACACTGTCGAACTTGCAGAAAATATATATGAATTGACAGCGATTTGATGCTAGACTGAAAAAATTATATATTTTTTGCAAGTTGGACTATTTGGGAGTTTTCTTTGCGAAGTATTATATGAATATAATTTTTTTTTTTTATTAATCACTGAGATTGTGTCTCAGGAATGTGTTGCCTAAAAACCATGATGATGGCAGCCTACATGTTTTATAGATCTATAAGGTCCTGGCTGGTTTTATACTCTATATAAACACTACTGATTATCTGACGTGCATTAAATTGGTGGAAAAGTTCAAAAGAGAGTCAGTGTAAAGTAAACATTTCTTTTAGCTAGGCTGTGAGAGTACAATATGTTTTTCTGTTACATAATTTAACAGTATGTTAACAGGATTAAGGAGCTTCCATGAATTTAAAATGGATAATTATTATTACTACCAGTAAAAAGTCCAGTTGTCCCAGACAACAACATTCAGTTGAATTAAATGTTATCATTGTCAGCTTTTCCTGGACACCTAACAATATTTATCAGAGGTAGGACATATTGGAGGATAAATACTTAATAGAATTAGTTTTCAACACAGCTCTAATACTGCTCTAATGATACATTTGACGTCATCCTCCACTTCCGCAACATACTGTAGGCTTAAACCAACGTTTGCAGTGTCAGTTACAGGAACTAGTTTCAGGTGACATTTGAACACACACTCTTATGGGGTGGTCCTGCTCCGCTGACCCTCTATAAGAACACTTAAACTTAACAAGGATAACCCTGCTCTCTGACAATGACTTACTTGCATTTTACTTGTTTCCCAAATAAGCACAAATTGCATTCATTTGTGCCTATGTTTTAATTTGGCTCAACACACTTGGCTTTATTTGTTGAGAATACCACAACAACAATTTCTTAGTTTGTAAATGCTTGATTTATAATGGATAAAGGTCGACAAGGCAGCTATCTTGAAATTCTTTGAGGGGAAAAAACTCTTTAAAATGTAATTAGCAAATTGAGAAGAATTAAAAATTTAAGGGAAGTCCAAGGTGGGTTAAAATAAAGGGCAACTGGACTTGGTTGAAGATACTCAAAGACTTTCACATCTCATTCAAAAGGGTTTCTTAAGTTCTGACAGACTGGTCCCAGCTATTTAACCTCTGTGGGGTTGTTATCAAGGTGACACATGCCTCTTGGCAATTGTAATGTCAGTCATGGTTGTTGGAGTCAAGCCAAGTCTGAATGACCGCTGTTGGCATTGTCACATGAGGCCTGATATGAATGTTCAGTCTCCTGGGAAGAGATGAAGGGCAGCATTGAAAGTGGTGTCTCAGGACCCCCCCCCCCGTTGAGAGATTGTTTCTCTTCTCTTCTGAAGATGGCTTCTTTTGACTCCTCTTTTAAACCATCAGTCTGTCCTTCCTATTCAAAATACTGTTGTCATCAAAAGAGTGTCCCCTGTCCTTAAACTGAGAGTTGGCCTTTCTGTATTGAGCCATGAGTTGTGTGTAGTTGTTGTTTAGTTTCCCCAATATAGGCCCTTGCATTCTTCACTGCAGTGGATAGCATACATTATATTGCTTTTCTTGTGTTTGGGTGTGCTGTCTTTGGCGTGGACCAGTAGGCCTATCTGTCTTAGGGTGTTCTTGGGTTTAAAAAACACAGGGATTTGGTGTTTGTTGAAAATCCTCTTGAGTTTCTCTGATACTAAAGACATGTATGGATGTTGCCTTTACTCTTATTTATGGAAGTTGCGTTTGCTCTTATTATCACCACAGTGTTATTGTTCTTCCCTGGATTTTGTGGCTGTTATCACAAAGGTCCATTTTGGATGTTTTCGATAACTTTAGGTGCATCCTTCAGGAGTTTGCACCCCTGGAGAAATTTGTTAAATTTAAGGGGAAAAAACGTATGGTGCCGAGATTTTGTCTGCTTTAATCGGTCGACAAAGGGAATTTAACGCTTATGTAATTTAGCTGAAAAACAGGATCAGGTCTACTGAGTGTTTATTTTCTTATACTAGCTTCCGTCTGCGCATGCGTGAGAACACCCGCACAGGATTCTCCTGTTGTCATGACAACCGGCGCTTACAGGAAAGTCAAAACTCAAATCTGACTTCTGACAGAGAAGTTTTTACCTCTAAATTAGTCGTTCCTGTAACGTAAGCTCCACACGAAATGTTGTTGTGCTCAAATGGATTCAGGTGAATGATTTTCCGAGGGATACGTCCCGGTTTAAAATGCTGTCGACCTGCATAGGTGTTGCTGCAGCCCCGGGGCGAGGAGGTGCGGAGCCGGAGTCAGGGAGACAAAGCAGCGGCCACAGAGGAGCACAAAGCGGTGAAGAGAGACGACAAGGGCTGGGTGTTCAGGAGTGGCCCGACGGGTCCAGATATGAGGGAGAGTTTGTGAACGGATTCAAACACGGCAAAGGAAAGTACACCTGGAGAAATGGAGAGGTAAGTTAAGTTAATGTGAAATGAACTCGACAAAGATTCAGGCAAAAGATGTCATAAGAGCCGTCCAGTTTATGTTATTAGCTAGCGATAACTGGCTTAGTTCAATTTAGGACTTTATATTTTTGCAAAAGCAGACAATAATAGTAAGTTTTTCAAGGTAACACGAGTTAGATTTATTTTTCACATTACAACAGTTTGTAAAGTGAAGTTGAGTTTTGTAACTCCCTTCTGCTACGTAGCAGACAATATACAGTAACGTTAATATAAAAGTAATTATAAAAATGGTAAACAGAAATAAACCATATTCAGCGGAGCAGGGCTGGAATTTGGAAGCTTCCTTAAGAAATACAGTTGTTTTTGAGCTTTGTCAGGTTGATACTGATTTGGTGTAACACCAAAATCTGTGACCTATCAGATTCTGTGACTACACCCAAACGACGAGGTTTACATAACCACAACCAAGTACTTTTGGTGCCTAAACCCAACCAAGTACTTTTGGTGCCTAAACCCAACCAAGTACTTTTGGTGCCTAAACCCAACCAAGTACTTTTGGTGCCTAAACCCAACCAAACTGCAACGCTTCACATCGTCAACAAAGCCTCTGGTGCTTAACTTGCCATTTGGGTCACAGAATCTGATAGGTCACACATTTTGGTGTCACACCTGGACAAAAGCAAAGTCACATTTTTATGCCCCTGTCTGCTCCTTTATATAGTACTATGAGGGCTCTTTCTACAAAGACTACAGGCATGGGGATGGACTGTACTACTGGCCCACAGGCCATAAGTTCACTGGCAAGTTCTACCTCAACAGAAAGGAAGGATATGGACAACAACTGTTCCCTGATGGAGCCACCTTTCAGGTAAACTAGATAAATGGATGGCAGGCATTTGTATGTTTTTTTTAGTCTATGAATATCAGTAAATATTCTTCTCCCATCAGGGTTTGTACCACACTGACCAGAGGTTTGGTCCAGGTGTGGTTAGTTATCCAGATGGGCGTGAGGATGTGGGTCTGTGGATCGGGGAGTGCCTGTTAAAGCTCTGTACCTCTGTAGAAGAAGGCTTTAGCTTGAAGAACTTATCTGAGTATGCTGCCTACATGGACCCAGCTACTGCCACAGATTCCCTCACTCAGGTACATGCTGACCACTGTCTCACCCACAAGTGAATAGGTATCCCAGGCAAAAACATCTTCATTTTCATACATATATTTGGTTTCAAATCTCATATCTTTTTCAAACATTGTTGAGATCAACAATTTTTGACACCGCCAAGAATATGTAAAACATCATTCCTAACAGCAAAGACACAGAATCATTGTATTTGGTGTTTAAAGCTCCACTGATATACTTTTGTCACAGCTGCATTTTGTCATCAAAGGATGACAGGACAATCCTATAAGCAAAACATTGTTGCACCATGTAGTAAAACCTAAATTGGCTGGTTGAACCAGAACATTCCAGATGCAGCAATCAAGCTGGCTGGCTGCTCTGTTTACAGACCAGAGCAGATGAGAGACTCTGGGAAGAGCAGCGGAGAAGGTTTAGAAGAAGATACTTTATTGTCACATACATATGTTGTGAAATTCATTCTCTGAATTTAATCCATCCCTCAAGGTAGCAGTGGACCAACTCCAGATCTTTATCAGTGTCTGGTTCAATTGCACTGACTGGAGAGCCTAACATGTTTTTGGTGGTGGGGGAAACATGCAAACTCCACACAGAAAGGCACAGGTTTAAACCTGTGACCTGTTGTGAGGCCACAGTGCTATCCACTGGACCACCGTGCTGCCCGCCCACTGTGTCTGTCTATGTTTGAGGGAATAGGCCTTTAAAGCAGATAATCATCCATCCATCCGTCCATCATCATGCGTACAGGGTCGCGGGGGGCTGGAGCCTATCCCAGCTGGCATCGGGCGAAAGGCGGAGGTTTTTAGGGAAACTTTGTAATACTGCAACATTGAGCCTAGTTGGGAGCAGAATTTAAGCATTTGAACAAATATACAATGTATATATATAACTATGGGTTCATTTGCAGTGTGGATTGCATAGTACTATAACAGTTAATATCATGACTAACAATCACCCAACAGTCATATTTTTATAATTTATTAAAAATGAAAAAACTGGATAAAATATTATATACAAAACAGAATGAAAACTTTGTCAAAGAACCATTGTCCAGTTTTCCCTTGCAATGGTTGTCCCAAAAGCAGTTCCTTTCCTCTGAAAAGCAGAGAAGGACATTGCACTTCCTGCAGAGTGTATTATATTATATTCTGCAGTGTCCTCTCTTTGTCTTCACCAGGAATTGTGCAACCATGTCCCTGCGCACATCCATTGGTAGTTCACATGATCTCTTGGCATCTTGGCTCACCATTTTGATGGAATGGGGATGAGGATGGTCTCTTCTGAGCAGTCACAGGTCTCAGGTTGGCTTGGCATGGTTGGCTCAATGTCCTCATCATCATCCTCATCATCTTCAGCTGGACAATCAGTGGATGTCTAATTCTCTCTGTCCACTTCATCTCCATTTCAACCACCTCCTTATAACTCGAATAACTGGTGTACGATTCCATCTCAACATCACTCACTCCACTTTGGACAACATCAATGGCATCATTCACACTGTAGCCAACACCTCTCCTTTAAGGTGTCATTCTGAAATGGAAATAATAGATTAGAATTAGAGTATGTTCAAGTATAAATAATTTCAATGCAAATGAATCCTTTATGTGATACGTTCCGCTTAAGTCACACAATACTGGCTAGCCTACTTAACACATTAAAGGATTCTACAAATCCCCACATTCACACCTGTCACTAAACAATGCACCGTACATGCAACCCCCAACATTTCAGAACATTTGCGCCTGTTCTTGAACAACCATCCTCCAAAACCATTCCACAAACATTGTCTGCCTTGCGCAACAAGCAGATATTTGGGCAAACAAACAAAGGCCAGATGAAAACAGTTAACTATATTTTACTGCTCGCATACAGGAACAATTTCAAATACTGGTACTGAAAGAACTTAAAATACTGTAACCAGAAATAATTTATTTAGAATGATTCAAATCTGGTTTAAACTTAAAGTTATACAAAATAACACATTTAGAATCAGAATCATCAAATACATTATGTTGGTGTCTCTAAAATTGTCCTTAGGTGTGGAAGTGAGTGTTTGTCTATGTGTGGCCCGGCGATGGACTGGCGACCTGTCCAGGGTGTACCTCGCCTTTTTGGGATTGGCTCCAGCCCCCCCGCGACCCTGTACGTGGGAGAAGCGGTTGGCGATGGATGGACATTCTATTAATCATAGAAGATTTTCAGGGATTTTATTCCTTTCAATGTTGATATATGTAGTCCACTGAGACAAGTATATGCACTTCCAGGAAAGTTTGCAGGTTGCATGAGTTCATGGCCTTATGGCCAGACCTGTAAATGCATTTACTATCCAATGGCATTGCGAGGCTAAACAATAGGACCCACTGACTATGTTAATGTTTCTTTTGATTCTTAATTGACCTCTTTTCTGCTTATCAGCCTCCCACTAATGGTCCAAAGACAAAAGCCAGGACTGACTTTGAGGTAAAGTACTGCTATAATGGACAACTCTATGAGCTTTGTGACATAACTCGAAACAGATCAATTGATTCCTGATTCTCCTCAGGTGGTTACGGACACAGATCTGCTGTCAGATGATGATTTTATCCTTCCGTCCGGCATCGAAAGTTACTCAACAGATGGTGACCACTTGCCGCTGCCCCCTGGCCGAAGAAGAGAGTTGGATCAGCACTTTTTTGGCGAGCTGTATGAGCCAGACGCTTATCCACACAGAGGCTATGAGCGAGACCCACTTTCCACCCTTCCCTTACATGCCCGCATGCAGGCTCACATACACAAACACAGGTCAGACAAAAAAGTGTTGAGTATTGGTACTGAAACACACTGTACTGCCACCAGTATTGAGTGAAAAACACACAACAGTTTTGCAAGTAAACTGAAATTATATGTATATATGTATGTGTATGTATTTGTGTGTCTCTTAGGCTACAGGGTGAAAATATGGGCTGGGACGTGGCAGCTGTTCTCTCTCTGAACAGGGAAAGTTTTGGTCCTAAAGGGCCTTTGGAAGTCAGTTCAGAGTTGTTGATCCAGCATGCCTCCCGAGGGGAACTGCAGTCTGTGTCACAGATGCTCCAGACCGGTTTGGTCAACCCTGATATAGCAGATTCACAGGGACACACTGCACTGATCGCTGCCACAGTAACAAGTTATTCATTGTGTTGCCCATTGTTTAATGATTCAGTTTTTTGTTAATTTGCTCTTTTATTGGTATCCAATCATGGTTGGTAAAACGGCAGCATTCTTTGGATTTAATCTCATGGTTTCTCTTTCTCACTTTTTTTGTTTCTTGTACCTCTCAGATAAACTGCCATGACGATGTGATCCAGCTCTTGTTGGATATGGGTGCTGATATTGACAAGTTGAATTGTGATGGCATGTCTGCCCTGGCTGTGTGCCATGTCCTCTACTACCCTTTTCAGTCTCTGCACACCACTTTAGCTGAACCGCTAACCAAAACTCAAGTAAGATTCCACCTAGTGTAGTTTTTAATCTTTGTTTTATAATCATCTCCGTATCAATAGATAACACATATGAAACCACGTTTTGAAGATAATTGCACTGTAACATATCATCAGGTTTTGACATCTTCATCTGCATGTGGGAACAGTCCCCGGATCAGCCAAGTGGACTTCACGTCAGATACTACCAGGTTTAACAACAGACCTCAGACTACAAACACAGACCTGATCAAGCAGAACAACCGGTCGTCTCTCTTGACAGGAGTGTAGCTGATTGCCTCTTTAACATATAATTCAGCAGAAACTGTATATATTGTATATCCTGTTTTGCACAGCGGATCTGACCCACTATTAAGAATTAAGACAAAGCAAATTGTATTAGAGTTGTCACACCCTACAACAGTGTTAGCACCCTTTGACTGGTTATGAAGTGTGTCTCTAAAACAAGCTGATTTATTAATTTAAGTTCCCTGTTTGTTGTGGTATTTTCAGGACAGCGGAAGAACTAACAGAACACATCTTATATCATAGCAGTAAAATGTCCAGTGACATCATTGAGCAGCATTGGCCTGGCCTGAATGAGTCTGAGACCCCTGCAGACACTGAACACCTACAGGAGGAGAGAAAAGAGAAAGAGGGAGAAGAAATGGGAAGAGACTGCAAGGAGATAGAGAGAGGGATGAATGTTAGAGAGCGAGAAGAACTGAGCAAGAGTCAGGATGAGAAAGAGAGCAAAGGGGAGGAAAGAGAGATAGAGAGCAGATGTGATCAAATGTGGGAAAATGGAGAAAGTGAGTTAAAAGAGAAGGAAAGAGAATTTGAAGATGTTGAATTTGGTGAGAGGAGAGAAACAGAGTCAAGAAAAGAGAACATAGTTGTGAGGGAGGAGGTTGAGGAAGATGGGGAGAAGACAGTAAGGAGTATTCATGAGGATGTAAAGGGGAGAGGAAGTGAAGACGTGTCTGGTGTCAAGTGCTCCATTCAGGTGTTGGATGGTCACATTGCACTGGGCAGCGTGCAGTGGGAACAATGTCGAGCTAAGGCAGCAGGAAGAGTTCAGGTATAAAGCAGATCCCGTTCTATAATAGGTTTGATAAGTTGGTTCTTGTCTGAACTCACTGTTGTCTGCTCAACTCTCCATCTGCAGCAGGGCAAAGACAAAGAATTGACAACCTTTGATTCTGCCTGCTCCGTCAGCAACTATAACATCCAGGTCACAGAGGAAGTGATGCAGCGCTCAGCAGAAGCTCTGAGTCGCACGGGGATTCCTCAGCGCTTTGACACACAGGAGACTGTACGCAAAATGGCTGCCATGAAAACTGAGTCAGTTCTGTTTCCCTCTGTCCTCTCTTTTTCGGTAATGTTTGTTGTGTTCTGATGACACCGATTTTATTTGTGTATCTCTGTTTATTTTTGTAAATGTTATGTGTTGTGTGTCTGTCTGACCAGACACCGTGTTCGTTTGAACACCCTGAAGCTGTTATTGAAACGGGGAGCTGACCCTAATGTATCCAGGGTCCCCATGCCTGTCCTCTTTTTAGCCATCATGGCAGCTGACACTGAGGCCGTCAGGAGACTTCTGCTGTCTGGAGCTCGCACTGACATTCCCCTACCACCTGAGGCAGGAATTTATTATTTGTTTTACTTGTGTGTTTTTTTTGGTTTCAGACATTATCAAAGTTCAGTTAATTTAGGGCATCTTTTTGTGATAAATGTTTTTAAACAGTATCATTGGGAGGGGGATACACATTTGTTGAGCCACAAAGAAAACAAATCAGTGACATCTGATAACATAAAACAAAAATCACAGCATCCATCATTTCCATAAACCATACAATTCCCCTCAACATCTCATCCTTTTTGTAGAGAAAAGGCCTGTATCCCCTGCATGTAGCTGCAGCACTGCCGGGTCCAGCCGGTCCCAGAATCACAGAGTTGCTGCTCCACGCTGTCACTGACCCAGACGCACAGGCATGCGACCAGAACGAGATCTATGAACCAGATAAAGTGTGTTTTTGTCCTTTAAGCATTTTCAAGGATCATTATTAATCTTAATTGTAAGAAAACAGTTTCAGTTTGAGGTTGTTGTTTGATTGTTACAGATTTTCATGAAGGACCAGGAACCACTGAGCACTAATAAGAGCTCAGATCTCAAAGAAGGAGGCCGAACGGCCCTGCACATGGCCTGCCAGAGAGAAAGTGACTACCGGGTCAGTACATACTGAACATGCACACTCTTATGCCTATACAAACCATCACTGATGATACTTTCAACAAGTCATGAAGTTTTCTCATCAGTGTGGTCAATTTAAATGACGAGTGTTTGTTTTGTTTTAGAACGCCAGTAAGGTGGTAGCCCTCCTGGTCTCCCACAGAGCCAGCACAGACCTCCTCTGGAGTGGACACTCACCTCTCTCCCTGGCTATAGCAGCTGGGAATGACCTGGTAAACACCCCCTCCCACCCACCCATACACAGACACACGAGACCTCCTATTGGCCATGACCTATTTATTTTCCTTGGCCAGGCAGTGGAGGAACTGTTGAATGGAGGTGCAGATCCCAACACCCCCCTCGGCCTCAGGGTGGGCAGCGCCCTCTGTGTCCTCGCCAATATCAACTACCACTTAGGTGGCAGCAGAGCTAAGCTGGTAGACACCCAAGCACACTCACTTTCAGCACATACAGTCAGTTTATGTAGCAGCTGACTTTTGACAAAGCAGCATTTGTCAGGCATTTCTAATATTTCTAAAATGAAGGTGACCGTGTTGACAATGTTTATTTTTGACAAGCATGGGAGGTTGAAGCAAGGGATTTTCAGTTGGTTGCAATCTTCAGCCTCACGGCTAGATGCCACTAATGGCCCTTCAATTTGTTCTTGGATCTTCTGGACAAAAGCAATCTCTATGTTGAGTCATTTAAAAGTATGAGGTTTGCGCGTGTGTGTTTGATGTAGTTGGACATGTTAGCAAAGGCTGGTGCCGACATCTTGATGCCAGTGCCAGTGGGTGATGTTGTGGGAACTGCAGTCGACTATGCCCACTACTCCTTCAACCAGGTAACAGACCAACTGTAGAAACACAGTATGCATTTCAGTTAAACTCGAAAAACTAATCCATACAATGTTTACAAAAATATGATTTATTACAAATAAATCATATTTTTGTCATAATGTCCTACACTTGCACTCATACACAGACAGAGAAAAGGCTTTGCATAGTTGTTTTTTTTTCCATTACTTTTTCTGTGCTGCATAATTTGATCTGAATAGCTGTCTGTATGATGTATATTATTATCTAGGACTTACATATTGCCAACACTCCCTTCCACGCTCTGAACATGCGGGAGAGGGAAATATTCAAAGCACGACGCCAGCTGCTGAGCATGATGGGAGATCTGCTGAGACAGACTGCCGGTCAGAGGGATAGAGAGAATTTAGAGAGAGAACACTACCTCACAGTGAATAGTCAGTACAATGTATTTGTGTTTTTGGAAGGCCAAAAAATTTTATATATATTATTTTGTTTCTGAGTGTGGCTGTAAATCATAGTGTGTGTGTGTGTGTGTGTGTGTGTGTGTGTGTGTGTACATTTATGTAACAGGTACAAGTAGCAATATGAGGTTTGTGTCCGCGGGAGAAGATGCCATTTCCTCAAATGTGCCCCTCCCCAGCTGTGAAAGCCTACCACCCATCACAGAAAAACACAGGTACATATACATTTTCATGTAAGGCACCTGCATATTGTTCCTTTTCTTTTTCTGTTTTCTCTCATTTAAACTTGTACTTGTCCAACTCAGCGTCAAATTTTTGTCGGAGATCTGTGAGGCAAAATAAGGAAACAAATCTTTCAGCAGCCCGTTTCCAGCTCTCTGTGTGAATCTTTTCTTAGGAAACCAGTGTTTAAGTTCTGCTACCACTGTGGTCGCTCTGTGTCTGTGAAGCTGACTCCTTGTAGCCGCTGCCACAACGTCTTCTACTGCTCCAGGACCTGCAAACTGAAAGCATGGGGTGAAAGACACAAAGAAGAGTGTATCCGGGTGTCAGGTGGGAATCAGGCCTCTCCATTCAACAGCACGCAAATAACATCAGCCTCAAACCCTACCCCAGGAGCACTGAAGCTCAGACCAGCAATGTCACTTAATAAGCTTTGAATAAAATGATGTTGTGTAACTTTGTCATAGTGTTTTGAATTTGTGATATCTGTTGGGTAAAGTTATGCTTTGATGATGTACAGTACTAATTTGGTTTTATCTTTTGGATCAACAGAGCTTGTAAATACTTTGTCTATCTGTCTCTCTCAATCCAGCATCTGCTGATGGCATCCAGAAGAGTGTTGTGTTTAAATCACAAAGAAGCACCAGGCCCTTGCCTGTCATGTTGAAAACCAAAACAGTCCCAAGGCCCTTGAGTGTCAAGCTGAAATCCCAAAGAGTTCCTGAGCCCTTGAGCATGGCAAAGCAGGTCTTGGAGAGCCAAGTCAACATGAAGGAAAACTACAGCTGCAACTGATGGAAACTAAAATTTTGCAAACTTCGGAAGAGCTGAAGTACGACTTTATCTACCTAAAATTGCAATGCATTTCTTGAGTACTTAACTTTTATGTATTTGGCTGAATGGCGATGACAGCATTTTGTGCCATAATCATTATTATAACTGTAGGTTTGGAATCTATTTTGGTATGGCAATACTAGTGTAATAATGTCTGTCGCTATCTGTGCTATTTCCACAGAAATATTGCAAACTAAATGGCTGCATTTACATACTTACTAAATGAATTCAGTGGAAATCAGGACCACATTTTAGCATGTGACTTGTTTTATATGTGAATTTTGACTCATGCTGCTGATCTTCACTTTCATAATATTCTGATATTCTGATTTATGAATGAATGAAAGTGTGACATTTTTACTCAAGTTTGCTTTTACAGAGCTTTCAATTGCATCTCGGGGTCCACTTTTTGGGGTTTTACCCCCAAGGCTTTTAGCCGTATCTCATGGTCAGCAGTTAGAGTTGTTTTGGTTTTGTTTTATGTGATTTAAGTATGGAACCCAAGACAAGCAAACTCCAATGAAGACATTGAAATGTGGTTGAAAACTCCAGAAAAGTTTGTGTTAAAAAATGTTTAACTGTTTAAATGTCAAACTACTGTTCTCAATGTCAGAAATTAACATTTAATTAGGTTAAGTACAATTAAGTAAAACGTTTTTCTATATGATTATTTTATTATTTTCCTCAACCTGTTTGTATTCTGATCACTCGTATAATGGACAGTCTACTTAAGGTCATCTGTTTGTTCATCACCTTACCCTCAATGAATCTAGCATTACACATGGAAGTGAAGTGTTTCGCAAATTTATGCTAGTGTTTTGTCACTTTGAGCTTTCCTTTAGTGCTAAACACTGTCAGTTTACAACACATCGCTAACATGCAGAACGGCATGACATTTTCTGAGTACTTTCACACTTCCAGTGAGAAAAAGTTCAACCTTGATGATTTTACACTAATGACCTAAATTTAGTAACCTTCCCTGTTGCACCGCCCTCAGACAAACATCAGGCTTGTGCTAGACCTCACTGACTATGTTATCTTAGCAATGCTGATGGTTATAAAAAAAAGTTTCTATATTTTTGCAAGGCTTTTGACACAGTTGAACACAACTTTCGGTCCTTGGAAAAATTTGGCTTTGGCACTTTTGTGCAGCTATTAAAACTATGTACAAGAATGCACATTGTTCAGTTAAAATGTATGGAGGCACCCTCCCAGGTTTTATAAAGTGCAGTCAGACAGGGTGTCCTGTCTCACCATACTTATTTCTGATCTGTGTCAATTACTCTTTGATTAAATTAAGATCAGCCCTTGAATGGTATCACAATAGCTAAAAAAGACATGATCATTAGTCACCTGGCTGATGACACCACTTTATTTTTAAAATGATGCCTCACAGTTTTCAGTTGCTATTGATACAATTAACATATTCTCTAAAAACACTGGATAAGGAAGTTAGTTAGGAGAGATGGACATAGGTGGCAGGTGTTAGTTACAGTTTAAACCCCAAATTGGGTTTTTACAGAAAGTATATTTAGTTTCAACATTGTGTACATCTCTTAAGGACTGATTTAGCTGGGTAGAAAAAGTAAAACAAATAAAAGCAACATACTACATTCTCCCACATTAAAGCAAAAATCTTTATAAATATGGTAAATAATGAATCTGCTGATGCAGCTGGAGAGTATACGTGAGCTGATAGGCCGAAGGCTGAAATAAACTAATGCCAAACCAATATTTACCTAACTCAAAAAAGAAATTAAACTATATATAGGAATGATCCCAAAACACGCAAGCTATCAAAACAGTGAATTTTAGTACTTTATACAATATATTTGTAGCTTTATAAACCCCCGCACCTTTCAATTTATTTTAGTCTTTTTTTTATTATTATTTATTTCTTTTTATGTATTACATATATTTTCCTTTCTTTGTTTTTATTTACCTGGAAAGATCTCTGCTTTGTACTTATACTTTTTGTCTGTATGTTGTATTGATGCAATAAATATTTGAACTGGGGGAGGAAAAGGCCGAAATAAACGTCATCACGTTTTGTACGCGGTGTCTTTGGGACGAGCCATATTTGTAAGTTCAACTTCCGGCCCCCTGTTGTCTGCGGGCTGCAGCTGGACTTTTCTGTCTCGCTCAAACTCTCGCTGATCCTCATGCCTGGGATTGGACCGTCACTGGGGTACTTCCGCTGAAATCTGCAGGTTTTTACAGTCTGTGGGTAAACCACTTCCTTTCTGATACCGAGGCTATGATTTTTATCAAGCAGTAATGTTTCAGCAACAGTTTGGATTTCAGCGCATCAGTAATAGTAAAGCTGAGCATTGCTGTGTGCCTTTTTGTAAAGCCTCTAGTAAGTACAGCAAAGTACTTAGTTTTCATACATTTCCCTCTGATACGGAAACCAGGCTAAAATGGTTTGCTGCTATCCGGAGGGAGGTTAGTCCCCATACTCGAGTGGTTAGTCCCCATACTCGAGTTTGTAGCCGGCATTTTAAAAAGGAGGACTTTCGTGTGCCGGTCTTTAACACAGGGAGGCGCATGTTAAAGAGGGGAGCTGTTCCAGAGTTGTTTGAGTGGAACAATTACACCCATCCAGGTACAGAACCGATGGTATGGGAGAGGAAACGATCCCATCCACCTCTCCTGGACCACGACTATGCTTCGGCTCCGGACCCCGCAGTTGTCGACTTAGCTCTCGATGAAAACATGTCTCTCAGAGAGGAGATCCTCCAGCTGAGGAAACAAATAGAGGAGCAGACTTTAAATCAGCGGTTTGGTCTCCATCGTTTTGCTGGCTCAGACAAGGACATACGGTTTTTCACAAGGTAAGACGTCCAGCAGGCTCACATTAACCTACAGGTGGTGGAGGTACAGTAGATGTAATTGTGCATTCACGTGCTCCTCAGATGGTCCCATTAGTTTAGTTCTTCCGAATATAACAGAAATCCAACAATGATAGCCACTACAGGACAAAATACTGTCCTGGACTAAAGAAGAACAAACAAGGTGCAAATTACAAGTGCAAGTATAAACTTCAGGAACAGCAAGATGCTAATAAAGTGAAGATTTTACAGAAATAAACAAATAACTGAAAGACATATATGTAAAGGAAAAACAAACAACACAAAACAATCAATTTTAACCTTTGGTTGGGGTCCAGTTAGGTAAGTAGATTTATTTTGTCACAATATGACAAGTTATAGAGTGAGGTTGTAACTACTTTCTGCTACATAGCAGGCAATACATTAATGTATGAAGATCTAAACATCTGGAATGTTTTTATTCAGGTTTGCATCCTATGACCTACTCATGCGATTCTGGGCTTTAATAGAGCCCTTGCTGCCCTCTATGGTCAGTGTGACACAAGCACAGAGTGGCACCTTCACAGAGCCAAGTTCCCCTGCTGTAAGTACTCATTATAATATTTGTATTAATATTATTTCCATGAACCATATAATACAGCCTCACAAAGATCAGGGAAGTTGGAAGTTGAGAGAAACATAATGTAACTTTTAATTTGTTTTGAACAGACTCCTCCCCTGCAGCCCATAGATGAGATGTTCATGTTTCTCAACTATCTTGCGCTGGGCTTAAAATGGCATGACCTTGCTGACCGGTACGGAGTCCGCCAGTCCACAGTCGTTCGGACTATTACAACATGGAGCGACTTTCTGTACACTGTGCTCGGGTCAGTGAGGATCTGGATACCAGAGGAGAGAATAAAGGAACATTTGCCAGAAGAGTTCAAGGATTATGGAGACACTAGAGTCATCCTGGACTTCATGGAGCTGAGGTGCCAACCATCATCACCTCTTGTCCAAAGTGAAGCGTTCTCTGCATGCAAGTCCCACTACACTCTCAAAGGGCTGCTCGGAGTTGCTCCTCATGGGGCGGTGACATTTATTTCTCCACTGTACGCCGGATCCATCAGTGACAAACAGATCATGCGAGTGTGTGGAATTCTTTCTCTTTTAAGACCCAGCATGGCTGTCATGGTCGATCGAGGTTTTCTCGTTAATGATGGTGTGCCTTGTAAGATCTATAGGCAGCCATTTCTCTCTGGAAGATTCCGGATGTCTGCTTATGAGGTCAGGGCGACCCAAGCAAATGCACGCCTCTCGGTGCATGTGGAGCGCCTCATACGCCGCGTGAAGGAACACAAGTTCTTTGACACAGAGATTCCACCTCAGCTTATTGGCAGCATTAATCAGCTGTATGCTGTTGCTTGTCTCCTGACAAACTATGAAAACAGGCCTCTTGTAAAGGCATGAGCAAAGAAACCAGAGTAGCACATTAATGTGTAGGTGGCATTTTATATATACTTCATATACTGTTGGCTGTTTAAGGTATAGCAATGAATCATATTCTTCTGCGGGAAACAAATCCATAAAAAGCATGAGCTTTGTGACAAAGAGGGTTTTTAAATAGTTTACATGGTAAACAAGATGGATAATGGAGATGTATGTTTTTCACTGGACAGGAAGAGTATGAAAAAATAAATATTTGCTTCTGAGAAGTAGTGGAGTACAAGTATTAAGTTGCATAATATGGGCTTTTTTGAAGTTAGAGGTGTTATTCTCCTACCAGTTTTATCCTGAAAAAAAGCCTAGCAAATGATGTATATTGTCAAGGATAAAGTGTAATTATTGTAAATTATCTGCATCTGCAGTATATTCATAAAATGTGTTTTTTTGATAATGTTACATTGTGAATATTGGCTTATTGAAATATATTCACTATGTTCAATTTTTTAGGTCACCTGTCAGTTCTGCTCACCTACAATTACAGTACTTTTACGTAAGACCCCAATACACTCAATTATCATTTATCTTAATTTCACTGTTATTTGTTAACTATGTAAATGTGATACATCAATGATGATGATACAACAGTGCTTTTTAATCAAACTTGTTTATAGAGGGCTGTTTCACAAAATCAGAATCAACAAATAACAGATAGGCAAGGTTTGACCTAGTGTGGTACCAATGATCTTCTGAGCAGTTTAATCACCCGCTGCAGAGCCCTCTGGTCCTGTGCCGTGCACATCCCATGCCAGTTTGTGATGTTTCCAGTCAAGATGCTTTCTACTGCTCCTCTGTAAAAGCTGACAAGATCTTTGCTTTCTTAAGCTTCCTCAAGAAATACAGTCGTTGGTAATGGTAGATTGTCAGTATTTGTACAGCACCTTTCTGACCACTCTAAGTGGTTTTCATTACATTGGATTCACCCCATTCATACACATTTATACACCGATGGCACAGCCATTGAGAGCAATTTGGGGTTCGGTGAACGACTGCTCTAACCCTTAAGCCACAACCATCCCAAGTCAAGTCCCCTCCTCATGTCCGCTGTCTGATGATTGGTCTATTAGTGTTAAAGAAAAATTTTCCCCTAGCGTGACAGACCTCTGAATTTGGAGGAGGTGATACACAGCTGCCTTGATTGGTGCCACAGTTAGTTTTTTAATATTTTCAAATTAGTTTGCTGTCTCAGCGGGTTGAGAGGCTGTCCCCCCTCAAAAGTTATTCCCCACTGTTTGTCATCATGCCTCTTTGTCACTCATTGATACAAGCGCTATGGCATCAAACACAATGAGCCTGAAGCTCTAGGTGTTTTGTTCTATACACTGATGTTGACAAAGTAGGGCTGGGCAGTTCTTTTGTTGCTGGTTGTTGTTTCTCAGCTTCTGAATACGCGCCCTGAAGATATTGAGCTTGACTGAGTGAGAGCATGCACGAGGAGGTCATTCAGTCTTGGCCTCTGGTAGTCCTAACGACTGTAACGACTGTCATTACAGCAACCAGGAACACTAACGAACCAGCAGTATCAACGATCCTGGCAAACAACCCCACTGAGGTTAAGTAGCTGAGTTTCCCTACCAGTCAGTCAGAACTGAAGAAGTCCTTGGATGAAGGACGAAACGTCTTCCAGTATCTTCAACCAAGTCCAGTTGCCCTTGACTTTAACCTTCGTTGGATAACAACATTATAATATATATTAATATATTAAAAGAAGGCTTTCAGGTTGATATAAAAAGAAGGCTTTCAGGTTGGGTGACAAGGCCATAGCAGAGGAAACACAGCGGGAGTTGAAGGTAAAAATCAAGGAGGGGAAGCAAACCTACACAGATAAACTGGAACAGCCGCTGGAGCAGGATGGGCTGAAACAGGTCTGGTTTGGAATGAGAAAAATCACTGGTCTCAAACAGAGGGGGTGTGGGGGGGACCTTGCTGATGACCCGAATGTGTTTCTTAACAGATTCGACTATCTAACCTAACTGCATAGTACCAGTGGTAAACCAGCCCAGCATCAGTGTAGATGACGACCTCATCTACATGCTCCAGAGGGTCTACGCACATCCTGAAATCTCTGAGGCAACTGTAAGAATGATGTTTTTCGACTTCTTGAGTGCATTCAATACAATCCAGCAGGTGAATGCAGGTGGAGTTCCCTGGGTGACAGAATATTTAACAGCTAGACCTCAATACATGTGGCTCCAAAATTGCATTTCTAGGACTGTTTCAGTAAAAGGGTCCCACAGGGAACCGTTCTGTCCCCATTCCCGTTTAGCCTTTATACATCCAACTTTAAATGCAGCTCTGACACCTGTTTTCTTCAGAAATATTCAGATGGTTTAGCTGTTGTGGGCTGCGCCAGGGGAGGATGTGAGGGTGAATACAGGAGCACACTTGTGGACTGGTGTAATAATAATAACCACCTCAGGCTCAATATCTCAAAGACCAAAGAAATTGTCATTGATTTTAGGAGGAAGAGGCCCAAACCAGATCCAGTCTCCATTCAAGGAACAGCTCTGGAGCTTGTATCCTACTAGTACCTAGGAATACAGCTGGATATCAAGCCAGCTGTATTTTTAAGATAAGTCTTCCAACCTCTGCTCTGTGTACTTTCACTGTTGTGGCCAGTTCTCTTTTTCTTTGGAGTGGTGTGATGGGGGGTGGGTGCTTACACATCTGACAGGAACAGACTCAATAAACTGATTAAAAAGGCAAGCTCCATTATTGGCATCACACCAAGTTTATCCTGCCTGTCGCTATTAAGGTTCTTTAATATGAACATATACATATAGTCATTTGGCTGATGCTTTTATCCAAAGCAACTTACAATTGCTATATATCAGAGAATACGCTGCTGGAGCAGCTAAGCGTGAAGTGTCTTGCTCAGGGACACATTGGTGTCTCACAGTGGATTTGATCCTGGGTCTCTCACACCACAGGCATGTGTCTTATCCACTGCACTATCACCAACATATCATAACATAATATGAAATAACTGTCTTTGTATTTTATTATTGTATTGTTACATACGCCTATTTTAGAAATGCAATACCCTTTGTGGCATTGGATTTCTTTTTAAATCATTTTTAATTGTCAATTAAACAAAGATAAAACTGAAGTTATTGTTTTTGGAGCCAAGGAAGAACGATTTAAATTCAGTGCTCAGCTTCAATCTGTAATGTTAAGAACCAGAAGTCAAGCCAGAAATCTTGGTGTAATCATGGACTCAGACCTGAATTTGAGGAGCCACATTAAGACAATTACAAGGTCAGCCTACTATCACCTGAAGAATATATCACAGATTAAAGGACTTATGTATCAGCAAATACCTGGAAAAACTTATCCATGCATTTATCTTCCGTCGACTCGACTACTGTAACAGTGTCCTTACTGTGCTCCAAATCCATCAGACAGCTGCAGCTGATTCAGAGCGCTGCTGCTCGAGTCCTCACTAAGACCAAAAAGGTGGATCACATCACTCCAGTTCTGAGGTCTTTACTTTGGCTTCCTGTATGTCAAAGAATTGATTTCAGAATCCTGCTGTTAGTTTATAAAGCACTAAATGGTTTAGGGCCAAAATACATTTCTGATCTTCTGCTTCGTTATGAACCATCCAGACCTCTCAGGTCGTCTGGGGCAGGTCTGCTTTCTGTCCCCAGAGTCAAAAATAGCAGCGTTGAAAGCAACGTTCAGTTATTATACTCAGTATATCTGGAACAAACTCCCAGATAACTGCAGGTCTGCTGAAACTGTCAGTTCTTTTAAATTAAGACTGAAGACCTTTTTTTTTTTTTACCACCGCTTTTAATTAAATATTTAAGACTTTTCTTTTTACCACTGCCTTTAACTAGTAGATTGATAACTTACACTGCACTTTAATGTTTACTGTCCTGTTTTCTTTTTCTTTGTTTTTAGATATTAACACTATTTAAAAAGCTTAGAGTGCTCTTTTGATTCTACCATCTCACACAGCTGATCCTCTGTTAATACAGCCGAGTAGAATTACAAGAATTAGATCCCTGTTTCGTTCGCTGTTAACTTGTTGACAAGGCACACTGCCAACCGCTTTTACCAGAGTTTGTATAGTGTGGACAATCTGGATTTTCAGTGACGACTGTATCTAAAGAAGGGTAAGCGAAGTGTTAAAGGGCTGGAGTCCCCTTAGGGTTAGAGTCCCTAAGTAACTAAATAGAGTGAGAGATGAGAAATCAAAGGAGTAAAATAAGCAAAGGTGGGAGACCTGCCTGTTTTTATTTTCTATTTAACTTTTAAAACTTTTTTATATTTCCCTGTTGCTTTTATATTTTATGTAAAGCACTTTGAATTACCTTGTTGTTGAAATGTGCTATACAAATAAACTTGCCTTGCCTTAAAAAGTTTTTAGCTTTTATTATTAGTATTATTAGAATTATTATCATTATTATTATAGGGTTTTAATATTATTTTAGCTTATTTGTTTTACTTTTTAAAAAAGTTTTTACTTGATTAGCCTTGTAGATAGATCGCTGTCTGCCGTTGTGCCAGATCTGAATGTGGTTGCTGCTGTAACAAGTCTAATTTCCTGTGAAGGATCAATAAAGTGGGCATTTGAGCAAATAAAGGTGTGTTTAAATGTCACATGGTTAATATTGGCTTGTTTCGCATAGTAATAACAGCAGCACTGCTTTTTTAAAGGTTGCTGCTGTAGCGTTATTCTGTAGCCTGCATCATAAAAATGAGTCAACAGAGGGACAGAAAACCGAGAGCAGGTTGGCATACAGACTTCCTGAACAGCGAGGATTAAAATTTTACACTGAGGGCGACCAACTAATTCAAACTTTTTTCGAGGAAGCAGTTTCACAAACAGTGCGAGGAGGACGGGAACTTTGGTACAGTGTTTGGTGCGGGAGGTATGAATGCGGACAAGGAGGAGCAGGAAGACGAACTTCTCGCCCTACATGGTATCTTTGGTTTGGAGGAGTTTGTCCGGGATGAGTCGAAGTCTGCCGGAGAGATCCGAGTATCTGTTGAGCTGCCTGCAGACTTCACTGTGGTTCTTAAACGGGGTAAATCTTTTTATTGTCGCAGATGCAGATTTGTTTTTATAGCCAGAACAATATACGAATATACAGCAACATCACATAAACCGACTTAAATTGTCATGTCTACATTCATAAATCTCGGCACACAACGGTGTCAGCGAGGCAGTTTGTTGACTAGAGAAACATGTTATTGACACGAATAGGTTTGTTGAAGTGCTGTGACTGTACGAACTATGTCTGTGAATTTGCTTTGCATGGGAATGAAACACTGTTAACAAAATCATTTTGAAACAAATGTTATGTATTGTAATATAATGGACATAATTTCAAGATACTTGTTTAAAAACAAGTGTTTTCTAACATATGCCCAAAAAGGAAAAGACTGAATGGATAAGTTCAGGGTCTGCTCCCTGTTGTGTGAAAGAAAGAATCAAAGAAACCAGGATTGTTTCTTCGCTTCACAGGTCTTGTTTATTTGCTTTGATCATGTTGTCCTATTGTGTTTTTGTTTCCTAAGGTGAGACGCTGAGACAGTATGAGATATCATATCTTCCACCTCTGCTTCTGATCTTTGAACTCCCTGAGGACTACCCATCCTCCTCTCCTCCATCCTTCAGCCTCACGTGCAGCTGGCTGACACACATGCAGGTAATCAGTAGAGGCAATGTCAACTCAAATGTTATAGGTTTTTTTTTTTTATTACAACCTGCCAGTGTGTGTCACAAAGAGAGAGATGAATGCAGATTGCAGAGGGTTAGTTCAGATTACATCAGTCTATTTGCCCTCTCCTCCCGCAGCTCTCTGCACTGGCGGCCCAGCTAACTGATCTCTACCAGGCCACTGGGGGCGCTGTGGTGCTCTTCTCCTGGGTACAGTTTCTTAAAGAAGATGCCCTCAGGTTCCTAGAAATCACTACTATCCTGGAGCTCCCCTCTGATGAAGACAGCACCCAATACTATAGCCAGGACACATTAAATGCCGCACTCAGAGAACCAAAGAATAATCAATACACTCCAGAGTCAGGACCCTCAGATAACCAAAGTTGTAATGTGTCAGATCCTTGTAAACCAGACCTCTCTGAACCATCCTTGGAAGATGAGCATTCGATAGTGATTCTAACTGATGGCCAAAATCCTTCAACCTCAGACTGGACCAGCACAGACTCTCAGGGAGCTGTGGCATTAGACTCCTGCAAGACTGACCAAAATAATTCCCACCACAGCCAAGTCCCACTAGATCAAAGTGGACAAGGAGCTGCTTCTCTGCCAATCCACTCAAGAGAATCCCCCCAAAATGAAGACCACACCCTCTCTGGTCTCTCCCTAACTCCGTCACAAATTCTCCTGTCCCAGCTCTTGATCTACGATGCAGCCCAGCATCGGAAAGTGTTTGCCACCACAGTGTTTGACTGTGGTGTGTGTTTTATCGGCCGGCTCGGTTCAGAATGTGTGCAATTGCCTGAGTGTGGCCACATCTTCTGCCAGACCTGTCTCGCCCATTTCTGTAAGCTCCAGATAAAAGAGGGGGACGTCCAGGGTGTCACCTGTCCTCAGGCAGACTGCAATGCAACCCCTACACCTGCACAGGTACAGTCCTGACCCATCCATCTGTTCTCTCTACAGCTGTTTTGAGGCTTTGGGAAGCAGGACAAAGTTTAGAGCTGTGCTGAAATAAGTACCTTATGATATGAATTATAAAAAATATGAAGTAACATAATATGGAGTATAGAACAAGTAACAAAAGCAAAATTGTCCTAAAGTACAGTAATTTCCACCACTGGAGATACGGCCATGATGTGTACTGTTAGGAATGTTTTGCAGTGTCAAAATAAACGTAATCAGTAATCACCAGTGGACAAAGTATGTAGTGGCAATAATATTTCAAAATTTGCATAATGCGTATGTATCTTCATATGTCATTCCTGACGTCCAATTTCTTGCTACTTTTATGTGGATATATACACCTAAACAGAATAAATCACTTACATTATTAAGTGACTTCCCTAACACACTCTCTTTCTGCCTTCTCTGCTTCTCTATTTCACCTGTTCGGTAGGTGAAGAGTTTGGTAGGAGAGGAGCTGTTCAGCCGCTATGATCGTCTCCTGCTGCAGAAGACTCTGGACTGCATGGCTGGTTTGTTTCCCTTATATTCTTGTTAAACTGAGGATGTATTCAAGCCTTTATAGATTAGAATGTCTAGTGAAAAGAATATAGTGTATATAATATGGTTAATTAAAAATAATTTAAAAAATCATTGATTACTGCTTAAGAGTGTATTAAAATGTGGTTTTTTTTCTTTTGCATTAAGCATGTGATTTTTTGCTGCAGTTTTCAAGCCAGCCGTAAAAACAAGACCAATAAAAATATGAACAAACAGACACAAAATGTTTGTAGTCATAGGTGTCATGGGGACATGTCCCCAGTGTAAATGACACTTTTTAAAATGGCTGGTTTTGTCCCCATCACTTTTTGAAAGTATTTGTTAAAATGGTTCTGATAAATTTCTTGCAACAATAAATGTTAATTAACAAATAAGAATGCTTTGAGAAAGATTTATTTGCACAATAAGAAACATGCAATGCAATGTAAATATCTAAGAAACTAATGTGTGGTACTAAGGGTGTACTAAGGGGTGGTGATGGTGCAGTGGATAAGACACATGCCTTTGGTGTGAGAGACACAGGTTTGAATCCACTGTGAGACACCAATCTGTCTGTGAGCAAGACACTTAACTCCTAGTTGCTCCAGAGGTGTGCGACCTCTGACATTTACAGCAATTGTAAGTTGCTTTGGATGTAATGCACAGCGTAAGCTAAAAAAACAAGTTGCTGATTACTACATTATATACATTATATATATTATATTTTGTATTGTCACCTTACACCTGAAATTTGTGTTTCCCTTTAAATATGTATGTATAAAAGACATTTCAACCATAAATTGGTCCGGAAAATGTCTCCAGAAGGCAGGAAATTAAGTGTTTAATGCTCAAAATCTTCTGGGGGAGGACCCCCAGACCTCCCATGTCATATATCGCAGTACTGAATATTTTTTCTAATATCTTCTTGTTTTGTTCACGCTTCGCGAGCAAGTGTATCACTGCACCCCTAATCTGAGCCCTTAAATGTCCCCACCACTTTTCAGCACAAAGTGACGCCCTGGTTTTTAGCACCTTCTTATTAATATCAAAACAAATTTAACATTGGGTTGATGTAAGAGTCTGAAGAGAGATTTGTGCTTTTCTCCCCTCCTCTTAGATGTAACCTACTGTCCTCGGCGTTCCTGTGGTTCGGCCGTCATTCAGGAGAATTCCAGCACTGCAGCCATGTGCTCTGTGTGCAAATTTGCCTTCTGTGTTACCTGTAGACAGACCTACCATGGAGCAAATGACTGTCAGAAAAAGATGAACACAAACAAACCAATAGAAGAAAAGTCACAGCAAGCCGGAGCAAACCTGCCACAGTCACAAGGTACACAAGCCTACGTGTGTGTGTGTGTGTGTGTGTGTGTGTGTGTGTGTGTGTGTGGGTTTATTTAGAATTTAAAAAATTGATTAGTCAATCAACAGAACGTTAATCAACATCTGTTTTGATCATTTTTAAGTAATTCCTCAACTTTCATTTGTGAGGATTTGCTGCTTTTCCATGTATTTTTTAAACTAAAATATAAAGTAGTCATATTATGCTCATTTTTAGGTTCATAATAATTTTCAAAAAACACCATATTTTTGTCATACTGCACATTGCTGCAGCTCCTCTTTTCACCCTGTGTGTTGAACGCTCCATTTTAGCTATAGAGTGATGCATCGCACCTCTACAAGATCTTTGTTGGGAGTTGCACATGTGCAACGCCAAGAACTACTAGCCAATCAGAAGCAGAATAGGGCGGGTCATGAGAAGCAAGTAAACAGGGGCGAGTTCAACCTCAAAATGTTTTGCACCAGTTTGCAATGTTTTCAGATTGAACAACATGTTTCTTTGCAATGTTGCGCAACAGGCTTCGAGATATCTTTTCTTCTGTTTGGTGGGCGTGTCACAGGTGTTACCCAATCATCTGCAAAAAGTTGGTAAACACAACGGCGTTAAAAAGGCAGGGAAATGCATTGCACTTGCGTAAACAACAGGGGGTCAGGGAACCACCGTTTCCGTTGAAAAAAACATTTTGCTACGTTTTGTCTGCGCTGAACTCAGTCCAGGACTTTGGTTCAGCTGTATAACTACATAGACTGAAGTGGTGAGAGTGGTAATATAACCTCTTTAATATGTTTGGGTTTTGGACCGTTGGTTGTACAAAACAAAAATTTGAAGATGTCATGTCGGACTTTGCATTGGCCATTTTTCACTGTTTACTAACATTTAATACAGTTGCATCTCAAAAAAAATAATAATTTGAATATCGAGAAAAAGTTAATTCGAACTTCACTGAACTAGACTGAGAAATTAAAGGTTCAGGAAACCTTTGCAGATGTTTTGAGTTCATTAGCTGATTAGAGCCCTTCTCAGGTCGACATTTCTCTATTATAAATTCTACATTCTAAATTTCCATAATATTTTGAGATACTAGATTTTTGATTTCCATGAGCTGTAAGGCGTAACGATCTAGATTTAAAAACGCTTGTAATATTTCACCTCATGTGTGATGAATCTAGAACATATAAAAGTTTCACTTTTTGAATTAAATTACAGAAAAGAAAGGAACTTTTCCATGACATTCTATTTTTTTTGAGAGATGTAGACCAAACAAATAATTGATTAATAGAGAAAAGAATTGGCACATTAAGAAATAATATCAATAGTCTTTAGCTGTTGGCCTATTTACAAAAATTAAGCTTATCATTTTGTTCTATCAATATAGAAAAGGGGCGGCGCAGGCCTTTCTATGTGGAGTTTGCATGTTCTCCCCACGTCTGCATGGGTTCTCTCTGGATGCTCCAGCTTCCTCCCCCCGTCGAAAAACATGCAGACTAGGTTAATTGGTGACCCTAAATTTTCCTTAGGTGTGAGTGTGAGCGTGAGTGGTTGTTTGTCTATGTGTGGCCATGCGATGGATTAGCGACCTGTCCAGGGTGTACCCTGATTTTCGCCCGATGGCAGCTGGGATTGGCTTCAGCGACCCTGTACGCAGGATATGCGGTTGACGATGGATGGATGGTTATAGAATCAGTTAATTATTAAAATAACAGAAGATTATAATTTTATTCCTGGGATTAAATTATTTTTCTGGGACAGTCGTCAGAGAGGAACCTGTGTCTTAGTGGCAGCAGATGACATGACTGGTTGATATTTTGATAATGCTGTAGATAACAGGGTAATAGGAGCAACCTTTGGTCAGTCTTTAATTACGGTTCCATTCCTGGATTGAATGATTAGTTTGTGAGTCGATGTGTATCTAATGAAATGCTTTTTGTTGCTGTGTGTGTCTCAGAGGGAATAAGAGCTCTGTGGGATGACTATGCCAGTAGCAGTAAGTACAGGCAGCATCGTCTGGAGAGCAGATACGGCCGCAGGATATTGCAGGGCACTGTGGTGGAGCTTCTGAGTGAAGATTGGCTAGCGTCTAATAGCAAGAACTGCCCTCACTGCTTCTGCAGAATACAGGTATTTATTTATTCACCTGATGCACACATACACATGAACTCAGCACAGACTATCCTGTTACCGCATTTTTATTACAACAAAAAATAACAGAATGTTGACTAACCACTAACACACATTGTGTTTTGTGTTGTAGAAGGAAACAGGATGTAACAGGGTGATGTGCTCTCAGTGTCGACAGTGGTTCTGCTGGGTCTGCCTCACCATACTGCCAACATGTGGTGGAGACTATCATTTTAAGAACCGTCACTGCTCTCGCATCCAATACTACCCAGCCTAGTGCCTTAGCTACTTTTACCACCAGCCACTGACCGCCAGTCATGGAGGGAATGGAATTTGCATTGTTTATTCTATATTCAAATTTCTTTTACACTGGACTACGCAGATAATGCAAACATGCAAGATGATGTGGAGCATATTTTTAAACCATCTCTAATCATCTCAACACAGAATCTGTTCACTATAAACATTCGGTGTTTTAATGCTCTTTTGCTAAAGATGGGCCAACAAAGTATTTCAGTCACAGTTCATACACAAACCAAAAACATCAAAAATACATCAAAAATTTAAATTCTAGATGTATTTTACATGTTAATATCAATTTCAACTGAAGCTTTACAGTCATTCACAAAATTACACCATGTGTCTTTCTGTATCATGACCAGTAGATGATGCTACACTATCATTCAGTGTATGTGACATGCATATCTGCAGCTGTGGATGCAAAGATGATTAGTCTATGAAAGAAAATCACCAGTGTGCCTTTTACTTTCCCCTCATTTAGGTTACTTAGTGGGGTAGCAATGATGATTTTTTTTACATTTTTACATTTTTGCTCTATCTACCAATCATTTCTTTGATTTATTCATTAATGATGTGGTCTAAAAAAAATCATCAAATAATAAAAAGACTATGAAAAAACAAATACTCACATTTGAGAGGGTGAAGAACTTACTTATAAATGACTTAAACAATAAATTGAGTATTAAAATTGTTGCAGTTTAGTCTTCTGTTGATTGACTAATTATTTAGGCAACAAACCTTGCAGCTGCAGGGGGAGTTTTAAATCCTTTCAACTTCCTCAAATGTACCTTAAAACTTCAATTAAAGCGTAGTACCAATTAGTCACCTGTTCCCTTTACTGGCCTGGTGGGACTACATGTTTTGATAAATAAACACAGGTCTCAATTAGAAGCCTGGGCTTTTTTTATGGAAGTTCTTTGGACATATAAAACATCTTGAACTCCAGGAGACAACAAGCAAATATGAAAAAAAAGATCCTTTAATTTAAAATTTTAAAGGGTTATTTACATGAATGGTTTTGATGAACACCAGATTATGTTAAAAATCATAGCATCAAAGCATTTTTAGTAAAGTATACTGTATTCAAATTCAAGCACATTCCTTATCTTGAAAACAACTTTGTACAAGACTTTGTACAACACCTGAGACCAATAGTGACCTCACCGCACTGGGAAGGGTTTTCTGGACTGCACAGCAGGACAGTAAGGAGATGGGCTGACAGGTCATCTGAACACACAGCGGCTTAATACAGTAACAACAGCAAGACAGGCTTCTCTCTGATCTGTTTGCAAGACAGTCTGATCACAGTTTAATCATCTATGGAAGCATAGAAGTAACAGTAAAAAAGAAAGAAAGAATTTATTGTTTCTGTGATTTCCTTGTGTCAGGGAATCTTCTGAATAAACATGTCTTCCTACAGACAACAAAGTCACACCAGTCAAATTATGAAACCAACATCTGGCCTTTTACCTGCTAAAAGTACGCCTAAAGATAAGATTTCCTTTGTGTATGTGTGCCCTCATTAACATTAAACAACAAGGCCAGACCCAGTGTCCTTTGGATTGTATACAATAATGACCCCATTCAGGGTGTGTCAGGGTGGATAAGGAACCCACAGGAATAGTGGTTAACCTCCCCTGCAGGTTCCATGTAAATGGTAGTTTTAGATGGTGGTATTTGTATTGCTCCTAGTCTTTCTGACCACTCAAAGTGTTTTACATTAAATCACATTCACACGCATTCAAACACTGATGAGCAGGATGGTGCTAACTGCTCACTGAACTCCTTCATGCACATTCACACACCAATGGCACACCCATCGAGAGCAATTTGGGGTTCCCTGGATCCCCCATGTCAAGTCCCTTCCTCATGTCTGCAGTCTGATGATGGGTCTTTAAGTCTTTAGGCATTTTTTGGCAGTGCTGTCCCCTGATGTGACAGACGTTAATGAATTAGCAGGAAGGTGATGCGGCGCTGCCTTAGTTGGTGCCAGTTAAGTTTTGTACGTTTTCAAATGAGTTTACTGTCTCAGGCCCCGTTCACACTACTCTGTTTTAGTGGAAGAATAAAGTAATGCAGACGAAGAATCAGACCAGATTTTTTACATGCACCAATAACGAGCCGGGACTGTTACTGTATGTAACACGGGAGTGTGGCGGCGGAAAACAGACTGCGAGTCGTTGCAAAGTAAACGGCGACATGCACAGTTGTGTAGGCATTTAAGTGTTATTTTAATGGTACAGAATATTTTATATTTATACCAGGTCAAAACTCTGTCCGTGTGTCAGCGTTGCATGACTTATAAGACCCAATCTGAGAGCCAAGCGCGGGGTGCTGCCTAGCCTGTGCAGGCCAGTGATTGATGCTGCATTAGATATTCCTCCTGCCTTTGATTTGTTGTTTTTTTTCTTTCATGATGGAGCCAGAGGAACCAGGAGCGAGTTCAGCGCAGACAAAACGTAGCAGAACGTTTTTTTGAACACCCTGCTGTGTACGCAAGCGCACTGAATTTTCCTGCCTTTTGTGTTTACAAACCTGTCGCAGCTGATTGGGTAACACCTGAGACACGCCCACCAAACGGGAGAAAACATACCTCGAAGCACGTTGCAGGACGTTGCGCAATGTTGCAAGGAAACATGTCATTCAATCCGAAAATTTTGCAAACCGGTGCAAAACGTTTTGAGATTGAACTCGCCCCAGATCTGCCTCATGTATGACAAAAAGCAATTTTTAAAAATTTTGTAAAATCTTAATCAGAAAAGTAAAATGATAAATTTAGTTAAATAAATGTAGTTGTGTAAAAAGTACAATATTTCCCCCTGAAGTGTAGTGTAATAAGTATAAAGTAATGTGAAGAGGAAATACTTAAAGTACAAGTGCCTCAAAATTCTACTTAAATAGGCGACAGTACCAATGTTCATTTAGCGCTCATAAGCTATGTTTTGTAGGCTACTTTTTTAAATAACTGAAACATTTATTAAATGCACAAACATAATGTGTTATTTTTGTTTGGATGTAAGTTATCGCCAAGATAGGCATAACAACAACAATAAATTGGTTACTTGTGCAAATAAAGGTGTGTTTAAATGTCACATGGTGAATGATTAATGTCCTGTTTTGCATAATACAGCAGCACTGTGTTTTTAAGGTTGCTGCTGTATTCTGTACCTTGCATCATAAAGTTGAGTCAACAGAGGGACGGGCAATACGCCGGGAGCAGGTTGGCTTACAGACTTCCTGAACAGCGAGGATTAACATTTTGTACCAACTACTTCAACGTTTTTTCGAAGAAACAAATTTTACAAACAGTGCGAGGAGGACGTGAAGTTAGTTTGTTTTCGGTGCTGGAGGTATGAATGCCGACAAGGAGGAGCAGGAAGACGAACTTCTCGCCCTACATAGTATCTTTGGTTCGGAGGAGTTTGTCCGGGATGAGTTGAAGTCTGCCGGAGAGATCCGAGTATCTGTTGAGCTGCCTGCAGACTTCACTGTGGTTCTTAAACAGGGTAAATAAAGCCGTCTAAATTAGATTAGACCAGATTGTATTGTCTCAGATTTGTTTTTACAGCCAGAACAACAACATACAGATCACATAAACCTACTCAAAAATTCATGTCTACGTTAATAAATCTCAGCACACAACGGAAGGAACACAAGGAAGTTTGTTGACTAGAGAAACATGTTATTGACACGAATAGAAGAAGGTAGGTTTGAACAGCATGTTGAAGAGCTGTGACTGAACAAATATGTCTGTGCATTGTTTTTCCTGTTAACAAAATCATTTTGGAACAAATGTATATGTAATATGAATATAATTTCAAGACATGTTTAAAAACAAGAGTTTTCTAACATATGCCCAAAAAGTAAAACATTAACGGAAAAGACTGAATGGATAAGTTCAGGGTCTGCCTGGGTCTGTTGTGTGAAACCAGGATTGTTTCTTCGCTTCACAGGTCTTGTTTATTTGCTTTGATCATGTTGTCCTATTGTGATTTTTTGTCCTAAGGTGAGACACTGAGACAGTATGAGATATCATACCTTCCACCTCTGCTTCTGATCTTTGAACTCCCTGAGGACTACCCATCCTCCTCTCCTCCCTCCTTCAGCCTCACCTGCAGCTGGCTGACACACACGCAGGTAATCAGTAGAGGCAATGTCAACTCAAATGTTATTGGTCACATTTACAACCTGCCAGTGTGTGTCACAAAGACAGAGAGAGATGAATGCAGATTGCAGAGGGTTAGTTCAGATTACATCAGTCTATTTGCCCTCTCCTCCCGCAGCTCTCTGCACTGGCGGCCCAGCTAACTGATCTCTACCAGGCCACTGGGGGCGCTGTGGTGCTCTTCTCCTGGGTACAGTTTCTTAAAGAAGATGCCCTCAGGTTCCTAGAAATCACTACTATCCTGGAGCTCCCCTCTGATGAAGACAGCACCCAATACTATAGCCAGGACACATTAAATGCCGCACTCAGAGAACCAAAGAATAATCAATACACTCCAGAGTCAGGACCCTCAGATAAACAAAGTTGTAATGTGTCAGATCCTTGTAAACCAGACCTCTCTGAACCATCCTTGGAAGATGAGCATCCGATAGTGATTCTAACTGATGGCCAAAATCCAACCTCAGACTGGACCAGCACAGACTCTCAGGGAGCTGTGGCATTAGACTCCTGCAAGACTGACCAAAATAATTCAACATCCCACCACAGCCAAGTCCCACTAGATCAAAGTGGACAAGGAGCTGCTTCTCTGCCAATCCACCCAAGAGAATCCCCCCAAAATGAAGACCACACCCTCTCTGGTCTCTCCCTAACTCCGTCACAAATTCTCCTGTCCCAGCTCTTGATCTACGATGCAGCCCAGCATCGGAAAGTGTTTGCCACCACAGTGTTTGACTGTGGTGTGTGTTTTATCGGCCGGCTCGGTTCAGAATGTGTGCAATTGCCTGAGTGTGGCCACATCTTCTGCCAGACCTGTCTCGCCCAGTTCTGTAAGCTCCAGATAAAAGAGGGGGACGTCCAGGGTGTCACCTGTCCTCAGGCAGACTGCAATGCAACCCCTACACCTGCACAGGTACAGTCCTGACCCATCCATCTGTTCTACACTACAGCGTCCTTCCGGAGGTCTTTTTCATGTTTTGAGGCTTTGGGAAGCAGGACAAAGTTTAGAGCTGTGCTGAAAATCAAGTAAAAGTAGCAATACTGCAATTTGAAAATCAATGACAAGTAAAAATATAAAGTAGCATAAAATGGAGTATAGAACAAGTACCTCTAAATTGTACTAACAGTAATTTCCACCACTGGAGATGTGGCCATGATACTGAGTAGGATGTTTTGCAGTGTCAAAATAAACTTAATCAGTTATCTCTGTATGTAATGGCAATACTTTTTCTAAATTTCAGGCATTTTTGTCTTTCCCGATGTCCAATTTCTTGCCACTTTTATGTGTATATACACCAAAACAGAATAAATCACTTACATTATTAAGTGACTTCCCTAACACACTCTCTTTCTGCCTTCTCTGCTTCTCTATTTTCACCTGTTCGGTAGGTGAAGAGTTTGGTAGGAGAGGAGCTGTTCAGCCGCTATGATCGTCTCCTGCTACAGAAGACATTGGACTGCATGGCTGGTTTGTTTCCCTTATATTCTTGTTAAACTGGGGCTGTATTTAAAGCCTTAATAGATTAGAATGTCCAGAGATAGGAATATAGCTTAAAATTTGTGCTGTTCTCCCCTCCTCTTAGATGTGACCTACTGTCCTCGGCGTTCCTGTGGTTCGCCCGTCATTCAGGAGAAGTCCAGCACTGCAGCCATGTGCTCTGTGTGCAGCTTTGCCTTCTGTGTTACCTGCAGACAGACCTACCATGGAGCAAATGACTGTCATAAAAAGATGAACTCAAACAAACCAACAGAAGAAGACTCACAGCAAGCCGAAATAAATCTGCCACAGTCACAAGGTACACAAGCATATGTGTGTGTTTTTGTGTGTATTTAGAATAAAAAATATACATTATTGTATGTATTATTGTTACAGTATAAGTCACCCATGGCTATTACATGGCTGTGGTGGTCATTTTTTGTCATGTGAATATTTTACACCTAAAATGAACCTTGTTTTGTTTAAAAGAAAAGCAAATCTCTATATTTCTCAGTGCTTAAAGGGAGGAAGCAGAAGATGCCGTGTGGCCTGATATTAGGTCTCATCATCATGTCTTACTCCTTTGTAGCATACATGTATCAGCATTTCTGGATGATTAATGCTACTTTTTAGATACAAAGTCAAATAAAGTAATAGTTTTCGATATTTTATATACTATTCACAAGAATTGTGCTGTTATGTTTTTGTAAAATGAAAACATAGGAAGAAAAGTATAAGTTATAGAATCAGTGAACTATAACATTAATAAATAACATACCAGGCCTCTAATTATCCTTTTATCCCAGGCATTAAATTATTTGTCAGAGAGGAACCTGAGTCGACATGAGTGGTCGATATTTTGATAATATTGTAGATAACAGGCTGATAGTAGCAACCTTTGGTCAATCTTTAATTACGGTCCTGTTCCTGATTGGTTTGTGTGGATACCGATGTGTCTTGATCTGATGCAGTGCTCTGTGTTGCTGTGTGTGTCTCAGATGGGTTAGAAGCTCTGTGGGAGGACTATGCCAGTGGCAGCAAGCAAAGGAAGCGCCTCCTGGAGAGCAGATACGGCCGTAAGAAATTCCAGGGCACTGTGCTGGAGCATCTAAGTGAACAGTGGATAGCCATCAATACCAAGAACTGCCCTCATTGCTTCTGCAGAATACAGGTATTTATTTATTCATCTGTTGCAAACATACACATGAACTCATGAGCACAGACTATGGTGTGTTTACAGACACATTTTTATTACAACAAAATGTAACAAAATGTTGCACACCCATTGTTTTTCTGACTTTTCTGAACTGCTGACACACGTTGTATTTTGTTGTTGTAGAAGGACGGAGGATGTAACATGATGACATGCTCTCGGTGTGGAAGATATTTCTGCTGGACATCTGAGGCAGTCAATCACTTTGCAGCAGCCCCTGTCCTCTTTAATAAAACTACCTGACCTAGTACTTTAGCTGTTTTTACCCCCAGCCACTGGCCACCAGCTATGGAGGGAATGGAGTGCATGTTTTTTGATATGTTAAAATCACTTTGATTTTTAAGTGCACTCTTAGCAGACACTTGACAACGCAAACATGTAAGAAACCTAAAAAAGGTGATGTGGAGCATGTTTTCAAACCACCTCTAATCATCTCAACACAGAATCTGTTCACTGTAAACATTCAAGGCTTTGTGGTCTTTTGCTACAGGCGTGCCAACAAAATTATTTAGTCACAGTTTATACAAACAAGCCACCAACATTCAGTGCCACATTAGTTTCACTGTCAGAAATTTAAATTCCTGAAGTATTTTACACTGATTTCAACTGAAGTTTTACTGTCATTTACAAAATCACACCATGTGTCATACTGTATGAAGACCAGTAGATGGTGGTACATTACATAAATGAAACAGGACTACAAATACTCATATTTGAGAGGCTGAAGCCAGTAAAACCTTACTTTAAAAAACTAACTATTAAAACTATTGAGTATCAAAATTGTGCCCTCACCAAGCCAGACTTAGTGCAAAGACACTGTTAAGCTTGATCTTTATGAAATGTAACCATGTTGCATAAAACTTTTCTAGCTCTTAAACCACTGAAGGACACCTAGAAGCCAGAAATGTTTTGTGGTCCATAACCAGTGTGTTAAGAGAAGAAGAAGGGGAACCAGTCTGATCTCATCATTTAGATTGTTTTATTTTATTACTGCTAAACATTTTGTTCTTAGCAAGTTACATAGTTAAGTTGGTCAGTTGGTTCACATTCAGTTTACTCTTTAAGCACTGAAACATTTAAGCATTTAAAATGTCTATGAAGATTCTCAGTCATCCAGGTCATAGTTATCCAACCAAGGTTAAAGTCAAGGGCAACTGCACTTGGTTGAAGGTACTGGAAGACGTTTCGTCCCTCATCCAAAGGACTTCTTCAGTTCTGACTGACTGGCAGGGAAACTCAGCTGTTTAACCTCAGTGGGGTCGTTTGCCAGGGTCATCGATACTGCTGGTCCGTTAGTGTTCCTGGTTGCTGTAACAACAGTCGTTACAGTCGTTAGGACTACCTCTGGCCAAGACTGAATGACCATCGTTGGTATCTTCACCTGAGGCCAATAGGTTACGTTTGTTGAGGTTCCTGGGAAGAGATGAACTGGCAGTATCCAGTATCTTCAACCAAGTCCAGTTGCCCTTGACTTTAACATTGGTTGGATAAGCATTTAAAGGTTGTGCTATCCAGCCACTTAGTAATATAAGCAGTATTTGTTCTTATGGCCCCACAGAGCCTGCACAATAGGAGGCAAGGTCTGTCATTATGATTCAGCAACAGACAAGCAAGTCCTTTCTTGTGTAGCATCTCAATATATGGTCTGTACTATACTGGATGTTCATGTTTCCAGGCAAAATACAGTTATTAATGTTAAAGTGAAGCATCATTGGTATTTTTGTAATTTGGCAATAGCCTGTTTACACTGATTATATAAGCTGATACTGTATGCTAGATATTACATGCTATATATATATATATTTATAATTATATATATATATATATATATATATATATATATATATATATATATATATATATATATATATATATATATATATATATTTATAATTATATATATATATATTTATAATTATATATATATATATTTATAATTATATATATATATATATATATTTATAATTATATATATATATATATTTATAATATATATATATATATATATATATGCAGTGTTCTAAGCAGCCTGGATGGAATACAGCAGGTGATGCAGCACTGGGCTCTATTTTGTTCTTCATGTGCAGGTGTTTGTTACAGCTGCAGACAGAAAACATGCTGCTCAATACTTAACTGTGAGCCTTAATATCAGCAATACACATCAGCGCATTGCACATGTGTGCAGACACAAACTCAGCTGTTAAAACGGACTGGTAGTTGAGGCTGCGATCAGCTGATCCATTTGCTATCACTTGCTTCACCTGATACGTCTGAGGAATGGACGTCTCATTTCTCTAACAACACATTTCCTCGTTCCTTCTTTTCTTGCATGAGGAAAACGTGGATGCAATAAGAGAAGTGAGAAGCACCTAATGACAAAAAGAGCCCCATGTTGCACTCCTTTCAGATACACTCTGGATAAACCGTACTACATAGACCCCAACCCTTATTCTTGATTAGCAAATTCTCCGTCCATCTAAGTAACCGTGAGGTCCACGGTAGTAGTAGGATGTGTGCGGTGTCTTCTGGGACGAGCCATATTTGTTCAAGTTCAACTTCCGGCCCCCTGTTGTCTGCGGGCTGCAGCTGGACTTTTCTGTCTCGCTCAAACTCTCGCTGATCCTCATGCCTGGGATTGGACCGTCACTGGGGTACTTCCGCTGAAATCTGCAGGTTTTTACAGTCTGTGGGTAAACCACTTCCTTTCTGATACCGAGGCTATGATTTTTATCAAGCAGTAATGTTTCAGCAACAGTTTGGATTTCAGCGCATCAGTAATAGTAAAGCTGAGCATTGCTGTGTGCCTTTTTGTAAAGCCTCTAGTAAGTACAGCAAAGTACTTAGTTTTCACACATTTCCCTCTGATACGGAAACCAGGCTAAAATGGTTTGCTGCTATCCGGAGGGAGGTTAGTCCCCATACTCGAGTGGTTAGTCCCCATACTCGAGTTTGTAGCCGGCATTTTAAAAAGGAGGACTTTCGTGTGCCGGTCTTTAACACAGGGAGGCGCATGTTAAAGAGGGGAGCTGTTCCAGAGTTGTTTGAGTGGAACAATTACACCCATCCAGGTACAGAACCGATGGTATGGGAGAGGAAACGATCCCATCCACCTCTCCTGGACCACGACTATGCTTCGGCTCCGGACCCCGCAGTTGTCGACTTAGCTCTCGATGAAAACATGTCTCTCAGAGAGGAGATCCTCCAGCTGAGGAAACGAATAGAGGAGCAGACTTTAAATCAGCGGTTTGGTCTCCATCGTTTTGCTGGCTCAGACAAGGACATACGGTTTTTCACAAGGTAAGACGTCCAGCAGGCTCACAATAACCTACAGGTGGTCGTTCTGCATTCACGTGCTCCTCGGATGGTCCCATTAGTTTAGTTCTTCCCGAGTTCGGCGTGTTGATGTAAACTTCATGAACAGCAGGTGAATATTTTACAGAAATTAACAAACAAATAACTTAAAGACATAAATGGAAAAGAAAAACAAACGGCATAAAAACAAAACCTCTGGTTGGGATCCAATTAAATAACAAATCTGACATGAGTGTATAAATTAATATGGCCTTCTTAGATTGAACTGCTTTCATTGAATCTAAAGAGACAGCTCTTACAAAAAACACTGTAATGTGTGTTTTTTAAGAATTTCCATTTGTGTAAATAATATTTTTTTTGAGAATTATCAGGTTGTTGTATAAAATTGCAACATTCTCTCCTCCATTGTAACACCTAATCTAACATTACTCAAACATAAGTCAAAACTGGAATGGTCAAATTACTATGTAATATCCAATAGTAAAAAATCATCCCAAAATAATTTAGATACAGTGCAAGAGAACATCGGATGTTCACTCGTTTCTATTTCTGTATCACATTCATTTGAGTCAATGTTAAATCTTATCATCATTTGAATAAGGGCTTTGTGATCCTACGATCACAGCACAATATTCTCTACTAGTACATTTTTACTTTGTATTTAAGGTTAAACTCATCGTTGTTCAGTATTCTGCCTCTGTCATGCATTAGTAGTTTAATATAACATATCCCTTGCTCCATCAATTCTTTAAAATAAAAAGATATCTTCGTTATCAGTATACATCTAATATTCCAAATTGGTTTATTACGAGGGGAGACATTATGTTTATAGATTAGATTCCAATAATGGAGGACTTGCTGGTGAAATTTAGATAACTAACTAACTATTATAACCTAATACCATATTACAAATGCCATGTTAGCAAGATTTGCAGCATTTATCACAAGTGTCTTACCATCAACCATTTTGTTCGCCATGTTTCTACATTTATAATGTCAACAACTTGGCTGCATAAATCATTTTTCCGACACAATAAAGCTTATAGACATATTCACATGTCCCAATTAAGGTTTAATGGCTAAATACTGAAACTAGAGCTCAGAATCCTTCTACTGGCTTATTGTCAAACAATTACTCCTGATTGTTGTGTAGTACTTTAGCAGTGGCACCATACGGTAGTGTGTTTGTTAGTTTGATGAAAGCTAATGTAATTGTATTTGAAATGCTTCCATGTAAGTTCACAGTAGACACTGATAAAAGGTTGAAGAACTAACATCTGGAATGTTTTTATTCAGGTTTGCATCCTATGACCTACTCATGCGATTCTGGGCTTTAATAGAGCCCTTGCTGCCCTCTATGGTCAGTGTGACACAAGCACAGAGTGGCACCTTCACAGAGCCAAGTTCCCCTGCTGTAAGTACTCATTATAATATTTGTATTATTATTATTATTTCCATGAACCATATAATACAGCCTCACAAAGATCAGGGAAGTTGGAAGTTGAGAGAAACATAATGTAACTTTTAATTTGTTTTGAACAGACTCCTCCCCTGCAGCCCATAGATGAGATGTTCATGTTTCTCAACTATCTTGCGCTGGGCTTAAAATGGCATGACCTTGCTGACCGGTACGGAGTCCGCCAGTCCACAGTCGTTCGGACTATTACAACATGGAGCGACTTTCTGTACACTGTGCTCGGGTCAGTGAGGATCTGGATACCAGAGGAGAGAATAAAGGAACATTTGCCAGAAGAGTTCAAGGATTATGGAGACACTAGAGTCATCCTGGACTTCATGGAGCTGAGGTGCCAACCATCATCACCTCTTGTCCAAAGTGAAGCGTTCTCTGCATGCAAGTCCCACTACACTCTCAAAGGGCTGCTCGGAGTTGCTCCTCATGGGGCGGTGACATTTATTTCTCCACTGTACACCGGATCTATCAGTGACAAACAGATCATGGAAGACTGTGGAATTCTTTCCCTTTTAAGACCCGGCATGGCTGTCATGGCTGACCGAGGTTTTCTCGTTAATGTCTTTGTGCCTTGTAAAATCTATAGGCAGCCATTTCTCTCTCATAGATCCCAGATGTCTGCTCGTGAGGTCAGGGCGACCCAAGCAAATGCACGCCTCACGGTGCATGTGGAGCGCCTCATACTTCGTGTGAAGGAACACAAGTTCTTTGACACAGAGATTCCACCTCAGCTTTTTGACAACATTAATCAGCTGTATGCTGTTGCTTGTCTCCTGACAAACTATGAAAATGGACCTCTTGTAAAGGCATGAGCAAAGAAACCGGAGTAGCACATGTTGTTTTTTTTCCAGTGGTTGATGAAGAATTGGAGGCCCTAGAGGCACAAGGAAAAGAGTCAATACCACACTATGAAAATACTCTACTACAAGTAAAAGTCTCGCATTCTGAACCTTATTAAGTAAAGGTTTAAATAAGTATTATCAGCAAAATGTGGAAAGTAAAAATAGTCAATGTGTGTGGGACCCCGCAGTGTTCTACTACCATATTTGATGTTTTTGGTTGCATTAATGTGTATGATGCATTTTATATATACTGTCGGGTATTTTAATAATGCATCATATTCTTATGTTAGAAAAAGTAAATTTTCCATGAGCTCAGAAAAACGACCATGTTCAGCTTTGTGACAATGAATCTAAGAGGGTTTTTAAATATTTTAGGTAGCATGATAAATAATAATACATAGAGATGCATGTTTTTCACTAAACAGGAAGTGTATGAAAAAGTAAATATTTGCTTCTTAGAAGTAGCGTTAGGTTGCATTATATGGAAATACTCAAATACAAGTATCTTGCCATTTATGTAAAAGAAAAACAAAAAAAAATAGCTGTCCATATTGTACATTTTGATCATGAGTATTTAATGTTGCCAATTTCAGGGAAAAACAGGGGGCTGATCAAGCTATGAATGACGAGTGAACACTCAGGGAGCCAAAAAACAAATATAAGATTATTTCATTTAAAATATTAAAGGATATTTGGTTTACATGAGTGATTGAGATTATGTTGAAAATCAAAGCATCCAAGCATCTTTGAAGGAGTATACTGTAGTCAAATTCAAGCCACAGTCCTAATCTTGAAAACAACAGTTAAGCATTTTCCAAAATTTAAGACTTAATACAAACCGTGGGAGCAACAGTGACGTACAATTCACTGTGAGTGCACTAGGGTTTTTATTTTGGGACAAAATAGTAGCAGGAAAGAGATGATTAAGGTAACTTTAGCTTGAAAGGCTTCTCTCCGATCTTTTTGAAAGGCAATATTTTACATCTTAATATCAGTGAATTCAACTGAAGCTTTACATTCATTCATAAAATCGCACCGTATGTCATACTGCATCAAGACCATTAGATGGCGCTACATGACAAAAACGACAAAAATCATCTTGGACACACCATCAAGTAACTTTAGGAGAGATCCATTTTGGTTCTATCAATAAATGTATTTTGCATCGAAATATGCTTTCTGATTTAGTATATAATATGCAAACAGCTCATTACTGTGAACTGTATGTGACATGTATATCTGCAGCTGTGGATGCAAAGATGATTTGTCTATGACAGAAAATCACCCAGTGTGCCTTTTTTGAACCAGGTCAGAGCATTTATATCAAAGCCATACATCCTCCTCACTTATGATTAGGGTACCTAGTGGAGCTGCAACGATAATTGTTTTCATATTCGGTCAATCTACCAATCGTTTCTTTGATTAATTGAAATGCTGCATTTCAAGGGGCTATCCTTCAGTAAATGTAGATTCAAATACAAATTGATTAATGATGGGGCGTATAAAATCAGCAAATAATAAAGGGGAACCAGCGTAAGAAAACACACAAATACTCACATTTGTGAGGCTGAAAACAGTATAAATTTACTTATTACGTAAATGATAAATTTATCAAAATGGTTGCACTTTACTTTTCTGTTGTTTGACTAATTAATTTGGCCACCCACCTTGCAGGTAGAGTTTGTGTGTCTGTAATGTATTTTCGAAAATGATTTTATCTTACATCATCTAATGAATTGCTTTACAAGAGTTTTAGTTATGCAAAACTACTGTTGCAGACATATGGGTCATTCTACAAAATGGGTGACATCTGTGTCCCTCTGATATATTTGCATGTAATATGGACTGTGTTCAAGTTAAACATTTATAATTTAAAGGTTTCATTATATGAGTTAGTTTTTCTTAATATAAGAGGCAAATCACTAATATAATGCCATTATCAAGCATTAAAAAACATGTAGAACTTTTGAAATATAAATTTTGACCTGTCCCACGGCATAGTTGTTCAACTTCTAATAGCCATTAAAGTACAAAAAAATGTGTTAGAAATAGTGAAAAATACATTTATCTTTTTAAAATATATATTTCAAGACTGGCATATTGCTAATTTATTTTAAAAGAACATTTTAATTGTGTGTCTGCATTTTCCATCAACCCTGTTACTTTAATGGAAACCCCCCTGGTTTTATATAGGACTGTCCCACAGATCACATGTCTCACAGGAGGTGACATTTTCTCCCTCTTAAACATAGCCTGAGGGGAGGCATGTGTGACCTTCAATTATTCACTTTTTATCATGTTTTTAAATTTTTGTCAGAGGGGGAAAAGCTTGAAACGTCAACCCTGTTACCCTGAATTTACATAGTAAAACAATTAAATGTTTAATTTCAAGATTATTGTTAAAAACTACACAATCACTGTCATCAGTGCTAATCTTGAGATCTCATTAGCTTCATCACATGGCTAGCAATGGCTTGTTGAGGCCTAAATCGTCAATCCTGTTACCTTTTTAATGGTAATACATTTATATGTATTTATTTAGATGTATTTATGCATATGTATATGTGTGTATGTATATATGTATATATATATATATTTCACAAACAATATTTAAATAGCTGTAAGCAATTAGGAGAAATGTGTTGATTAATTACTTGCATCTTCAAAAGAATGGCTCAAAATAGAGGCTTATTGCCAGAGATGAGACGTAGATCTAGAGAAGGGACAGAATTAGAACGCATGAGATGGAGAAAATACAGAGAATTGGGTAAAACGCCAAGCCCAAAGGAAGGGTGGAGTAGCCAGCACAGCCTCTGAGCTCATGACACCACCAGAAAGCCCTTCTGCAGATGGACCACAGCAGGCAGCACCCTCAAGGTTAGAGATTTTATCTTTATCTTTATCTATTAATAACAATAATAAATGAAATAAGGGGTGAAGAGGAAATGTATGCTTAGATACATCGAGATGCAGACTTGGATAAATCTGAATCCCTTCACATATGTCAAAAAGTGAATTTTTAACTGTTAATTGATAACGTAATGTTGATAGAAGTAAATGAGTGCAACAACTAAACTTTCGCAACTAATGATTAGAATGGTAACACTCAACGGTTTGCATCAAGATGCAAAGCAGCTCTCTGAATCGTAATTGAATCAACAGGTTCCTAGAGACTCCCACCCCTCGTAATAACAGAAACATTATAGTAGTAAGAAATAACATTCAGCATGTGAGTAATGCCATGTCTCACATGCATACACACAAGTGTGTGTGTATATGATAGAGAAAGAACTTAAAGTAGGTAAAACAGGAGACAACTGAGAAGAGAGGGACAGCAGAAGACTCAACTGACTCAATTACTTTGATGTTATTTGGGAGGAAAAGAGGTTTGGACATACACTCACCTAAAGGATTATTAGGAACACCATACTAATACTGTGTTTGACCCCCTTTCGCCTTCCGAAGTGCCTTAATTCTACGGGGCATTGATTCAACAAGGTGCTGAAAGCATTCTTTAGAAATGTTGGCCCATATTGATAGGATAGCATCTTGCAGTTGATGGAGATTTGTGGGATGCAAATCCAGGGCACGAACCTCCCGTTCCACCACATCCCAAAGATGCTCTATTGGGTTGAGATCTGGTGACTGTGGGGACAATTTTAGTACAGTGAACTCATTGTCATGTTCAAGAAACCAATTTGAAATGATTCGAGCTTTGTGACATGGTGCATTATCCTGCTGTAAGTAGCCATCAGAGGATGGGTACATGGTGGCCATAAAGGGATGGACATGGTCAGAAACAATGCTCAGGTAGGCCGTGGCATTTAAACGATGCCCAATTGGCACTAAGGGGCCTAAAGTGTTCCAAGAAAACATCCCCCACACCATTACACCACCACCACCACCACCACCAGCAGCCTGCACAGTGGTAACAAGGCATGATGGATCCATGTTCTCATTCTGTTTACACCAAATTCTGACTCCATCTGAATGTCTCAACAGAAATCGAGACTCATCAGACCAGGCAACATTTTTCCAGTCTTCAACTGTCCAATTTTGGTGAGCTCTTGCAAATTGTAACCTTCCTATTTGTAGTGGAGATGAGTGGTACCCGGTGGGGTCTTCTGCTGTTGTAGCCCATCCGCCTCAAGGTTGTGTGTGTTGTGGCTTCACAAATGCTTTGCTGCATACCTCGGTTGTAATGACTGGTTATTTCAGTCAAAGTTGCTCTTCTATCAGCTTGAATCAGTCGGCCCATTCTCCTCTGACCTCTAGCATCAACAAGGCATTTTCGCCCACAGAACTGCCGCATACTGGATGTTTTTCCCTTTTCACACCATTCTTTGTAAACCCTAGAAATGGTTGTGCGTGCAAATCCCAGTAACTGAGCAGATTGTGAAATACTCAGACCGGCCCGTCTGGCACCAACAACCATGCCACGCTCAAAATTGCTTAAATAAAGTTACAGACCTAATATGTTAGTTATTTGTTGAAAAACAAAAGTGCTTTGGAGTATGAATAGAAAGTTCTTGATTAAATATTTGAAAAAAAGTAATTTCTTATGGTTAGTAATTTAAAAATAGCACTTGTACACAAAGGTGTGTTTAAATAATCCTTAATATGTTTGATTTGCGTTATTCATTTGTTTTAACTTCTTTTAATCCTCATGCAAAGTTTGGTAACAGGGTTGACATCGAGTACATTGTGGTACTAAATCTCTAATAAAGATAAAAATAAAATATCCTGAGGTGGGACGATACATGTATGACACAGTTAAATATGTTTTCTCTCCAACAGAATGTCAAAAAGCCCCCTAAAAAGAACTTCAAAAAATTACTTTTCAAAAGTGAAATTGTACCCGTTTCGTAGAATGACCCCTATAGATATAGATAGTTTATCTGTGGGGGAAATTTGCCTGCCGCAGCAGCACATGAACGAACCACACGGTACAAAGAATAGTGCAAAAACAGATGTCAAACACAATTAACTACTAAAACAAAATAAATAAACTATGCCCTTTTAAACACATGTATGCAAATTGGTGAATCCAGTGAGACCTCGGCAGCCTACCAGTCCACTGATGACCGATGACTTCTACAAAGCTATGAGCTATAAGGTATGAGTTATATAATGCTATGAATCAAAAGTTTGCTGTAAAATTGTTGTAAAGATACAATATTTTCAATAAACTCCAAGTGGGATTGTAGCTACAGTGGCTTTGTTAGTTTAACTGTTCTTATTTTTTTATCAGCAAATCTCATCACCCTGCAGGTAATTATTGGGTGTTTTGTGTTAAGTCACTGATTGACTTCCTGTTTTTGAAATGTTTCCCTCCCTTCCTCCAGTGTTTTGTCATAACAGTGGAACAAAGACCACTGTTGCATGTCCCCAGGCTGTCTGAGACATGATCGGAAATCTACAGCTGTCTTTCATATTAAGCCAAAGAATACTGGCCCTCTCCACTGTTGTGTCTCTTTGTGTGTGTGTGTGTGTGTGTTCCTGTGTTTCTTCCAGGAAAAATCCACACAGGGGTCATCGCTTCCAGTAGTTTGGGACCCAGACCTATCTGTGAGCTGATGTTTCGTTTGCTCTGGCAGATTCTTTTGCCCCCCCCTAACATTTCAGACAAACTTCCACCTGTCCTGGATCCAGTGGGGCCAATCACAAACGTTCATCTAATATTGGGCAGGATTGATACAATGACTTACGGAGGAGTGCCATGGAGACATTTGGTAAACAACAAATATTGCTGCTGCTGATGTAGAACTGTTTGTGTTGAATCCGCTATCATGTCCATATTAAATTAAATTGACAGAATATTTTCTTTAAAAGAACAAATATCTGCCCTTAATGCTTTTGTTGATAAGAAAGATGTGTTTGCCGTACTTCCGACAGGATTTGGTAAGTTTAATTTACCAACTACGTCACATGTGGTTACATATAGATATATCTAATTGAGCCATTTTAATCTGCGCCCATTGTTACCCTTTGGAAATCAAAAATCAACTATTTTGCATGCCCCAAAAAACTAATGCTTGCCTCTATTACCCAGATGTATACTAATACAAGAGAGGCATAAACGTGTCTAGAGTCAAATATTTACCTCAGGAGTTGGGAGAGACCAAAAGCAGAGCTAAAAGGAAAGTGGAATATTGGACTTATTACCAGGTGGCCAGTAACATGGCTACTAGTAAATGATAGTGTTGCTCCGTAACTGCTGGAAGTGCAATACGTTTACCATATCAACTTCAAAGGCATCCAAAACTTGTTTCTGCTATCCCCCCCGAAATCTTTTTTTTGTAAGTTTATTGTAGGCCTATCTCATTGTATCTTTAGCCTACTGTAGCATAATTAATGTGATGAGTCAAAAGGCCTATCTGCAAGTGTCTTCATGATTATGTTACTCAATGTCTTTTCAAAGTCCTCATGAACAATTACATGAACTAGATGTAAAGGTTCTTTCAGACATGTGTCTTTTTTTCTAATAGATATACTGTTAAATGAAACACAATTGAGCAGCTGCATGACCTATTCCTGCATCTGTTCAGACACAGATTTTAGTGGATAGTTTAAGAAACATTTGTGTCCTGAACGAAGACACTCTCTTCTGCATAACAAATCAGAAACAAAGACCAATGGAAGCCCGGATTGTTGGTGTATTTGTTCAATCGGCTCTATAGTAAGGGTTCATATTGATGTACAGTGATGTCAGTCATCTACTGTCTCTTTGAAGCAAATGCTTATTGAGTCTTTATGGATCACAATGACGATGCATAAATGTGAGCTGGTGCTGTATGGCTTAACAGTGAGTATAGAAAATTGTATCTGTGTGTGTTTATTGGCTACTTTCATGACTTTTACAGTAAATAAAACAGGTGCTGTAATTATGCAGAAGAGTTATTATCGATGTGCAAACTCCTTTGTAATAAATCAAGTTATTATAAGTTTTAATAGTAAGTGTGCACAAATACTTTTTATGTACCCCTGATAACAGATCATGTATTAGTAGGAAAGGGGCCTACTTTCCCCCAACACATCAGTACCTACATACATTTATTTAAAAGTGCCAGTAGTGAGTAATAAGGGAGTTGGACAGACATCTAATGTTCCAGTAGTGGCCAAATTCAAGCAATGACTTCATAGTTGAAAAAAAAGAAAAAGGACCATCTAATGACAGAAATCCAAGTTAGTGTATCCTCACTAAAAATTGAAACCTGAGGCCAGCACACCACATTTCAGGAAATCTGCTCATAAGGTTTGTGAGATATCCTGCTGACAGGCAAATAAACAAACTACCAGGGCCAGAAGAGGAACAGCTGCCTTGGCAGAAGCAATATCAAGAATAACAAGTAAAGCCTGGCTATCAGTGCAGTGGAAACTAGGCTATGTAGGACGTCTTCTCCCTGTGAGCCAATAACAGCATCAGCTAACAGAACGGTTATTTCCCCTGGAGCGCATACGAGCTGAGCCGTGGAAGAGAACACATGAGCCACACATTCACTGTAACAATCAACTCGGTTATTATATCAGCTGCACGTTTATTCGTCAGAAAATACACACACACGCACACACACACATACAGCCTCAGAATTCAGTATATCAGTCGTCCAGGCATCCATTCAGTCAGTCAGTGGTATATTGGCAACGTTGTTCAGAGGCACTGAAAGTGTGCTGAGGTTTTCACAAAGAGTACATAGGGAGGGAGTATATACTGTCCTGCAGGGGCGCTGCTAGGAGGTTTGGGGCCCCTGACAGTCGATGAAGGTGAGGGGTCCTGAATTCTATCAGTGTACAAGACTGACTCAGTCTTTAGACCAGGATACATGGGCTTTTACGTGAGGCAAGCGTCACCTTTTCTTGAGTAACAACATTAGAAATCAATACAGCTTAAATGGACAGGCACAATACATTATATACAGGCAAAACAGACAGTTTTAAAAGGATAGTCTGACATTAGGGAAATATGCCTATTCTCTTTCTGACCGAGAGTTAGATGAGACACCGTGTCTGTGTGCTAAGTAAGGAGGTGTAGCCAAGAGGTGATGAGCTTAGTTTACCATAAAGACTGGAAGTAGGGCGTAACAGCTGGTGTAGATCTCTCTGAAGAGAAAAAAAGTCTGGCTACCAGCATCTTCTCATCTTTAACACATTTGTATTTGTTTAATAGGAAGCATATTTCTGTGAAATAAATTCTAAAGTTCACATACTTTGCTTTTCCTGAAGCTTTTTGCTGAAAGCTTATCACAGCTATCCTAAGGCCAATAAGGAACCAGCGCAGTCAACTCTTTTTGTTTTTACCAACGCTGGATGGATAGATAAATGGTTGGCAAGAAATAGTTGCACTACAGAACTCCTAAAACCACAAAGAACACTGATAAAATCACAAACACACAAAATATGTGTTAATAAGTGGGCTTTAGAAGAACTGGTAGGTTAGCTGTTTCCCCATATGTCCAGTCTTAATGCTAAGCTAAGATAATCACCTGCTGGCTCTTCATCCACACTTGCATAATGCACAGACAAGAGATTTCCCCAAATCTGAAACAGCATTTAACAAATGCTACTTTGAACATCCTGCTATAAAACAACCAATTGCATTATTATGTGAAGGTCAAAATCACTGGACAAAAGTTTTGATTAAAGACACTTCACTGTTTATCTTAAGAACTTCTTTAGTTCTAATTGTTGTGGGGATATAATTGTATCCAAGGACTCTTACATGCCCTCATTTTAACAGTGGACGGACCTGCGTTTTTTGTGAGCATGGTTATTCAATACCATTTGTACTGAAGAAAGCCTTTCAGATACACAGAAAAATGATGACCCAATAATTTGGATTCAACTTCCTCCAGGCAACTGATTTAGGCACCTAAGTAAAAAAACTTTCTAGTTATTCTTTATCATTTTAATTTCAAAGAGCCACTGTGTGTTTATGTTTTTAAGTTTGTGCCAGATGCCCATTTTTTAGGCAAAGAAATTCTACAGGCTTGCTGTAATAATTATAAAACAGGTCCATCATCAGACCAGTGGTGAAGTAATGTATAAGCATCTTTTGATGTAATATTTTGTGTTAATTTGTATTTTACTTAACCTCTCAGTGTTGCCCATATACCCTGGTCATATTAGTCCAACTGTGCAACACATGGATAAACACACATAATTACAAATATGATAAACATCCAGAACAGTTTCAGCTTCTCACCTTGTAAACATTAGGATAAAAAATATTTAGATGCAAATAATGACAATGATAGCAAAGTCTTCACTTGATCTAAACAATATATGGTAACATATGTTTCTTTATAAACACGAGTGTCTTTTTATATTCAGTGCAAAATCATGATTCTTTCCAATGCCCGTTTGTAGATTTAGCACAGCATATAGACATTTCCAACAAACCAGTTATATAAATCTCAGAAAAACATCCTCACTGCCATATTTTTTCTCACTCATCAGTTATTAAATATGACTTTACTCATGCACAAAATAAACCAGATACAATTTATACAGTGCAATATGTAACACTTCTTTGTCATTTACAACGAAGCACTGAAGTTCAACTTATGGTGATGAAACACAATCAGCATTCAGGTAACAGCATTGGTTAATAACAGAAACTAAAAATTATCAGTATATTATAGTTGCCAACCATTATAGTCTCTAACAATTAAACACAGTTAGAACAAAACAAACAGAAACAGTACCCCAGGTATTTGAACAATTTCAACATATTACCAGACCAAACAACAACTAAACTGTCCTTATATAAGCACTAATGCAGTCTTGTAAATTTCAATGAACACATAGCAAATAAAAGTGCCGATTGCCTAAATATTAAACCTGTTAACAGTTAATGGCCATATGTAATTTACCACAGTGGTTTGTTGATTTTGTTGGCTTTCGACTGTTTAAAAGATTTGTGCAACCAATGAATATCCTTAGATGCAGAATGGTGTTTCACTGCAACAATATCCATCCAAAAATAGTCCTGTATTAAAGAAGCAGTTTACCGGTGGTTTAATATGTTTTAGCCCATTAACTACAAATTGCGTTTACTGCTTATTTCAGGCTATGCCATTTATTTTCAATTAGAGTCAACTGGTTTTGAAATAGTCTCTAATCAATTAAAAAAAAACAACATTTCAGTGACACTTTTGGAGTTGTTCCCTTTGAAACTCTTTTAAATGAACAAGGAGGCTTTAGGTGAAATGTTAATTGTCATAAATACTTGTGTAAATGTAATCTTGTGTAAGTCCTTTTGTGGCCTCCTTCACTGTCCTGACTCATACAGTGGAGGACTAGTGTCCTTTTATGTGTTTCCAAAAACGAAACCAATCTAGAGCCACTGCTGTGATGATCGTAATATTGTCACAAGAAGTCAGAAGAAAATGTCTTTATGGTTTAGAACAGTGGTTTCCACCCTGGGGTCCAAAGATAAGTGTGAGGGGTCACAAGATGGTCCAGGGTATAAAAAGGAAAAGTATAGACTCAAAAACCATGTAATGTTTTTTTTTTATTATTTGGAAATACTGGACACAAATTCTTAACCTGTTAAGGGGCCCCAGGGCAAAAATTTCTTTTGCCATTACATGGTTTTTGTCATACCCTACTCCCTCCCCTTGTTTCTCACTGTTGTCTGCCAAATAAATCATCTTAAAGTGGAAAAAAACTAAACAAACACCTGGCCCCATATTTTCACCGTTGGTTCATTTGATTAAACAAAAGTTCACACAGTAATATATGTGTGTATAATAAACGTGAGCACAATAGAAACTAAGAAATAAAGGTCTTAAAACTAGTTTTTGACACAGGGTTCCTCAACAAGACATGGCTGTAACATTAGCTAATAATGCAACACTAACCTCAGTTTATGTACTTCAGCTGTGCAAAGTCACTAATAGATCCAAAATCCAATCAACATGCAGTGAACCTGGGACTTTTGGGGCCTTTTCTTGGTTCTTGTTTAAAGAAACATCTGACAAGGAAAGCTCAGTCTTTGGTTGCCCACACTAAGGCCATGACCAGCGGCCTCTCAAGAAGATATTGCCACGTTTTAAGGGTTCCCAAGCAAAAAAGTTTGGAAACCACTTGAGAGTCCAAATACATGAAAAGGTTTCGAGGCTACTGTCTTATCTTAAAGGCTCTTTAGATAATGCTGGCTGAGTCTGACAGTTTTCTACAATCTCCTCACTTCCTTCATTCCTTTGCTGTTAATTATTTCATGCATTTGCTGAAAGTATTCAGCAGCTTCTTTAGAGTGGGATTCTTAATTTGAATCCAGGAGCCTGTCAACATAATAAAAGGTAATGCTACCGATGCTTTCATGTAATACAAAGAGTGTTATTTATAGGAGGAGGAGGAGGAGGAGTGCTATTAACAGACTGCAACTCTGTCTAATGTGAAGAACTCCTTGACTAGCTGTGTCTCACCCACAGCTTTGGTTACAGCTCTGCTTTCATCAGCGCATCTTTGTTCCTTTTGATTAAACCATTCAGCACAGTGGGCTACTGAAACACCCCAGCATTTTATTTTCTATGCTCTGTTTGCCTCTCCCTTTCTGGCTGCACCGCTCTCACACGTTTAAATCCCTATACACCACAGTACTTTGTCCTTACAGTGCTTTTCTCCTGGGTGTCCTAGTGGGTGATCAGGTGTACGTTTGTGCTCTAGAAGAGACAAATGTGTGATGTGAACAGCTGCCTCTCCCCACAGCTAACCAAGCCAACCAGAGAGAAAGCCAGGATGCTGCTTTTATTTCACTTTATAACACATTTAATTACGTGACCTGATCAATTTGACTGATTAAATCATGTGTATGTGTGTGTGTGTTTGTGTGTGCATGGCTGTTCTGCAGGAAAAGTTGGAAAAGAAAATGTGAAGTGAAACAGGAAGGATTTTCCTCCTCTTTGAACCACAAATCTACTCTATTTTTGTATATAGGTGAAACATGTTGACATCTGAAATTCTAGATGAAAAATCCTAACTTAACTGCTACATATAATGATAGTTTGAGGCATAAATATTAAAGGATTGAAGAATCAACAATCTGTAAATAACTATTTAAAAGACAACAGTTTTGTGTTTCCAACAAAATAAATGTAGATCTTTTGACCCTGTCACTGTCATCTCTGAATCCAATGGAGATCATGCCCAACATTAAAGGCACAGTACACACCTTCAGTCATTTATATGACAAGTATGACTGTATAACTCCACATGCCTTGTGACCTGCACTTGTGACTACACTTGTGTTCAGCTCAGCAACACTGAACTAAAACAGAAAATCAAATAAATAGAAACAGAAAATCTTATTTGATTCCAATTACATAACTGATTTCAGGATGGACTAAACACTTAAAACAGCCGGGCCAGGGTCATTCAGGGTACAAATAAAAATCTGTCACTCCTCTGCAGCCCCTTCACACTGCAGTACAGCCTGGTTATATCCCCTCTAGGGATCAAGATTGATTGGGAGAATTAAATGATATGTCTTACAGCCAGAAACACCCGGGAGCTCTGCACACGACCAGAAATGCCCATGAGCTCTCCACACGTTCATTTGCAATTTGCAAACTAATTAGAAGGTGATAAATGCTTTCAGCTGCATCACCATGAGTTTCCAAGGTGTTTGCACATTTCTTCCCCATAGTGCCGGTTTGGCTATATTGTCAAGACAAGTTTCATCCTCAGAGACAGCCTCTCCTGGTATGTGGTCCTCGAGCACAGTCAAAGTTTTGAGACTAGCAGCTTTTAACTACTGACAGATGGTACCAGAGATACTTTAGCGATGAGCAAGGGCATCACTCAAAGTGGTATGGAGGGCCAATAGTAAAACCCACACAAACATACAGTAGTGAAGACGTTCAGTCAGTGCACATGTACAAGATTCCTGATAATTATTAGATAGATTATGAGTATTTATGATATATGCTAGGATAACAATAACCAAATAATCAATAGATTTGTGTATGTTGTACTATATTTACATCTATAATGTCATTTTGAGAATATTTACGTAATATTTGTGTGGATTTAATACAAGGAGAGATATTTCAGGATATAGAAAAACCCAAATGAATACTGTAGATTGGTTTCCACTATGTTTCCAAAATGGCTAGCCAAAACCTACTCTTTAGCCTGCTTCTCACTAAAGGCACAAACAAGGCTAGCCTAGGTGTAGCCTTCAGCCTGATACACACCACAGCACCACTAAGAGGTTGGCTTAGGCTGAACAGATTTATGTAACACTTTTTCTACCAGATGATGTTGTTTGTTGTGCTTTGCTTTTTTTTTTAAATTAGCGAGTAGTGCTTTGGATTTTATTACCTGTATTAGGTCATAAAAATTTCAGTATGCTCCTTTGTGCCTCATGTGGCTCTGTGGTCACTAAGTGGCCCTGACATTCCTGCTGTAGGTCCTACTGATTTAAACACATGAATAAAAAACAAGACTCAAACTAAAACTCTGTCCTCGGTTTTCCAAAGGATGAGACTTGTTCTGACCTCAAGTGTTTACATCTTTGCTTGTCTCCTTCATTTTATTTCTATCAACAAGTTTCTCTATTTCCCACATTTTGTATACTCTCTTAATGCTTTAACCCTCTACATGTTGTACTTTTCTTTCCAATTGTCCCTGAGCCTCCTCTCATGCCATGTTGGCAGTCTGTGCATCACTCGGCCTCTCCATGTAGCCTAAACATACTCAAAATGTGCTTGCAATTCATTTGCATTTACCTGTATCCTGAGTCAGAATGAAACCCCACTTAAAGCCTTGTAGGAAAGTTGACCAGAAACAGTATGACAAAAGATGGTGGGTCAAAAAATATGATCAGATTCAGTCTACAAATTTTTAATCCACCATTTTCTCAAACATACGGTTCCTGTTCTCTGCATATATGTTGCAGCATGCTCCAATATACTGTATATGCTAAATTTTAAGTGTAATACCCAGACCAAATAAATCCATCAAATCCAATTATCGCTTAATATGATAGAGCCTTATGTCAAATAAGAGGTTTAAGTGTTTGATTCATCTAGCAAATAAATTGCAACAAGATCTTGAGGCCAAAACGGCTAATCCCTTCACTAAAAATACCCCTCAAACATGAGGCAGTATTTGCTTTGCTGCCCTTGTGCCGTGTTGTGCAGTGCTGCCTCTCCACATATTCTGTCCCACTCTAGTCTTTGTCTTATCTCCCGCCCCCCGCCCTCTTGTGTCTCTTAGCTGTAGCCGAGGTTCTCCATCTCGTGGCGGTATCTTAACTCCGACACTTTTGCTTTGTGCTGCTTGCTCTCCAGATGCTGCCTGAAGTCTGTCTCCTGCTCGGCGCCGCAGTTGCACATGGAGCAGTAGAACTGTCCGCTGGGAGTCACACACATGGCCAAGTCCCTTGGGATGCGCTGCCTCGGCCTGGGGTTGTAGTACGGCCCTGGAGGTAGAAAAAGAAACCACATTTATTTATCATGACAGCTAGAAGTATACTTCAATGTAAAACTAATGGTAGGCAAAGATCATATGAGATGAAGGACAGCATCTAATTATTGCTTTACCACCAAGTTACTTTTTTCAATAAATCCATTTATTTATTATAAGATGTTAGACAACTGGAAATCAAAATTTTCCAGACCCAAAAGATCTTAAAATTGCTTGTTTTGTTCAGCTAGTAGTCCCAACGATAGATATTCAATTTACGATCATACAAAACAGAGAAAAGCAGAAAATCCTCACATCTCAGAAACTGGAACAAGCAAATATTTGGTATTTTTAATGAATGGCAATTGTGGTCTGTTGGTCGGTCCACCACAAACTGAAATATTTAGATAACTGTTGCATTGATAACCATGACCATTGGAACATATATCCATGGTTTCCAGAGGATGAATCCAAAGGACTTTGGCGATTCCCTGACATTTACTCCGGCACTGCCATGAAGTTTACATTTGTGGTGAGTGAAATTACTCAAAATGTATTGGATGGATTAACATGAAATTTGGTCCTGATGTTCATGTTCACTTCAGGATGAATTGTAGTAACTCTGGTGTCCCTTAGACTTTCTCACTGGTGCCACCATAGATCAAAATTTTTATTTGTCTTTTATGACCAAATACCTGCAGTTACAATTAATCCACTAATCATTTTAGTATGAAATCTTTGGCTGGGGACACACCCAAAGCCACATTTCAAAACTGATTTTAAATATACTAAAGGCCAGCCTCACACACCTAATAATAACCTGATATATCACTGATGTATGTGATAAAGATACACAAGAGTGTACAGAAAGAAAAGCACAGCTCATATGGGATTACAACTAGGTGGATCCTTGGAAAAAGAGCAATGCTTGTGTGTGTGTGTGTGTGTGTTTGTGTGTGTGTGTGTGTTTGTGTAAGTGTGTGTCTGTGTGTGTGTTTGTGTGTTTGTTAACATAGAAAAACGAGAAGGAGATAGAGAGAGAGATAAAAAGACAGCGAGAAGGCAACTACAGGAGAGAGTGCAGCTATTTTGGGGTTTGTCCATCAAGAAAACTGATTAAATCAGCAGAACGCAGTGGTGTGTGTGTGAGAGAAAGAGAGTGGATGAGAGAGAGAGTGAGTAAAGAATGGAATTGGCTCTACTGTGTGATTTATCCTGCTTTCTCTTGAGCTGTGGTGCTACTGTTTTTGTCTGTGGAAAGATAGAGACATAACAAAAGACAGAAAGAAGGAGATAGTTGCTTGACGTCAACAGAAAGTCTGACGTTACCTACTCTGTATCTGTTTTCACAAACACACACACACACACGCACATGCACACACTAAGGAGAAAGCAGACACTCATATAAACGCACAGAAAGCAGAGCAGCTTTCAGCAAAAAACGTTTTCTCTTAACCCTAAGGTCCGATGAAACACTGGTAAAGCGCAGCTTTGTTTCAGCTTTTCTAAAACATCAGAGATCGATAAGTAAGTGATGTAATAGAGTAAATAAAATGACAAGCGTTTTGGATGAAGAAGTCCAATATTTAATAACATGATTTCTTAGATTTTCTACAGGTAAGAGATGCTGCCTTCAAAGGCTGCTAAAAATAATCTAGGGGTAGAGTGCACTTAAACAAGCCAATAAAGTGTCAAATAAAAAGCTCACTATTTTTGATACACATGAAAAAGTATGTTTCAAATACATATGTGATAGACTAGCTTTAGGAATAAAATCTTTAGTGTTTTCTAGTGTTCATCATATCTCTTTAGCTAGCTGCTGCAGTTTACTGAGGGAGTCCACTATAGCTCTGTCAACTATTGGAGTTGATTGGCATTCTGGACAGCAAAAATTACCTCCCAGTATGTATAATGTATATGTACAGAAGACATTATGGATTGCCCCATATTTTATGCCAGGAAATTAATAAAATATAAATAAAATAAATATATCTATAAAATAATATTTTACCTGGCATGGAAGTGGGTAACTGTGGGCTACGGCGATTTTTCACCAGTCTGTACTCACTGCCATCTTTCCTGTTTCTTCTTGGGGCTACCTCGTTGCTGCCTTCCCTGAAACAGGCAGAGCCAGAGTTAAAAACATTTTCAATTTGGTTCAAAAGGTGAGTAAAACACACTGTCTGTGTCCAGATGTTTAGCTTGGCTACTTATATCTATAGCTACAACTACAACTACAACTTTATATTTGGGAGAAAGTAAAAAAAAAAAAATGATTTGACTTTATTATTCAAATACATTTATTTTTCTGTGTTGTTTAAATAATATAGGAATAGTTTAAAAGGCTATACTCAATCATGGCTTCAGCTGTGGCTTCCTGGAGATTTGCAGAACCAATGCAAAGGACATACAAAGCTAAATAAGGCCGAAACCTCTGTATACTTCAAAAAGGTTTCTATACTTAAACTTACATGTTAATGGAGTTCTGTTGGGCCTCAGCGAGCCGTAGTTTCTTGGCGTGGTTCTTGCCCTGGTAGTGGGCCTGTGCCACTGCCGGTGAACTGAAGGAGGCGTCACACAGCTTACAATAGTCATTCTCTGTGGCCAAGATGACCCGGGTCGCCCCTTTGTACAATGCCTGCAGATGCAGGACAAAGCAATGCAGTGTTTGTGGTCGAAGGAGTCAGGGAGTAAACAGTGAGAAAGAAATGTTTAGGTCCACTGGGAAGAAGAAAACAATTACTTGCACAACTTCTTAAGATTTTCAGCTGGAAAATATACACTGATGAGTTATTGTATATTATTATATGTGCTAAAGTCCACAATATTAGTTTGACATATTTAAAACATCGTATTATTAGTTTGACAGATGTAAAACATTATGAAAACAAGTTATGTTGCCTCATTTTTAAACTTAAGGCTTATTAGATCATGGGCAAAAAAGGACGTGACTGTATATATATATATGTATAATACGTGAACATTGACAGTTTTTAATTGATATGGTGAACTCACTATAAAGCTGTGGTGTTCAGATGATAAATCAGGTGATCATTCTCTATTGGTTCATCACTACGAGCGACCCCTTTCACATTATAACATCGTTTTCTCATTGTATACATAAGAATATCAATTATAGCTGTGTTAAAATCTGAGAAAATGTAACATTACAATAAAATCTATTACAATAATTTCATTGAATTGTTTCTCCAAATAGTAAGTAAACATCCCATTCCTTATTATTTAGAGAATGTTGTTCTATCTCTATTTTGACCTTAGATGTAACTCTTGGTAACACAGAGCAAAAAGAATTTGAGTCTTTTTTCTTTTTAAAGTGCAGCTACAGAGACAGTATATTTTTCGGTGGTGAGGGAATGATGTTCAAATAAAATTGGGTGACTCTGCAATTCTCTACCACCTCCTCAGAGGAGAACAACCGGAACAAGTGGATTGGCCACTTCAGCAGCAGTACACCCACTTCCTCAACTAAAGCTCTAACATTTAGGTAGGTTAGTGCTGAGTTGTTAGATTTGAATCTGACCTGCCTGCCTGCGTCACTGTCGTTGGATCCTGAGCTGAGGGCTGTCTGGCCAGTCGTCTCGAGGGCTTCTGGGATCCTGATGGCTGGAGGCTGTTGACTGCCAGCGTAGAAATTTCTTAACTTTTTACTGTGGTTCTTCCCCTAGACAGACAGATAATGGGATGTACGTGTGTTGTCTGTTTGTATCTTAAAATTGTACATGTTTTCTACATATGCAAATGTACTTTTCAACTGACCTGGTAGTGAGCCTGTGCCTGCTGAGCAGAGTTGAGGGTAACGTTGCAGAGTTTACAGTACAGCGGTTTACACAGTTCTCCCAGCCCCAGAGAGTCTTCCTGCTCCTCCATCCCCAGAAGAGAGCCCTCATCCTGGGGTTGCTCACTGGCAGGGGCTGCCTGACCCAGGAGAGGACCATGGATGAGGCAGGACACCGGGGCCGGGATGAGGGCCAGTCCTGGGGGCCTTGGGGGCAGCTGTGAAGGGTCTGGGCCCGGGGTAGGAGGGGAGGACAGTGGGCTGGGAGGGAGGGGAAATCGGCCAGCTCCGGGCGCAACTACTGGTGGGGGCACCAGTGCTTGTCCAGGATTTAGAGGTGGAGGCCCCAATGGTTGTGTGAGGTCCATGTTTGGAGGCACTATTGCTTGTGTGTGATCTACAGGTGGGGGGCCCAAGGTGTGTGCCATTGGTGGAGGCCCCAGTGGCTGAGCTGGGGCCATTGGAGGGGGGCCTAAACTGTGTGGTGGGGTAATGGGGGGAGGCCTTAACGTGTGACTAGCAGTTATGGGAGGGGGCCCTAGAGTCTGGGTAAGAGCCATAGTTGGGGATCCAATTGCCTGAGCAGGGGCAATGGGTGGTGGGCCGAGAGGCTGCGTAGGCGCCATTGGCGGGGGTCTCAGCTGGTGCAGAGAGTCCATATGTTGGAAAGGCTGCTGGGGATGGCTGAAGAGACTCAGTGGAGGCTTCAACATGATCTCTGGGCCTGTGGACATCAGAGGCAATGCACATACACATTGCTTTTGGACATGGACAGATTTCTTACATGGAAATTCCATAAGCTTCATGAGGAAGTCAGTGCTGATTCAGACACATAATACATTAATAAACTATACATTCTATTGTCATTCTTGCCATTTCAGTATTTAAAAGCATAACTGAATGAAGCCTGGTTGCTGTGGCCACCTGTCACTCAAGACAGCGCTCCCTTAATTATGCATAACTTTAAACCTTTATATTATTTAAATGGGTGAGTTATATAAAAATCACCCCGCTGTACAGTTGTTGTGAAGGGGGGAAATAAACTATATTTTTGTTTCGAGCTATAGACAATATATATATAGACAATATTATTTCTGCTGTAAAGTTCAGCATTTTAATATGGTGGTCTACAGGAATTAACTCACTTTTGGAGCCAGCCTCATGTGGCCATTCAATGAACTGCATATTTTGGCCCTTCCGAGTTGTCTTCATTTTTCAGCACCAGAGGTTGCCGCTTGGTGTTAATTAGCTATTGTTAGCATGCTAAAAGGCTACACTGAAATGGTAAACATGTTAAACATTATACCTGCTAAACATCAGGATGTTAGCATTGTCATTGTGAGCATGTTAGCATGCTGATGTTAGTATTTGGCTAAAAGCACCGCTCTGCCTAAGTATAGCCTCACAGAGCGGCTAGGGTGGATGTAGGTTGTCTTCTTATTCTGCATCTTGACCTGAGTCTGCATCAAAAATCACATTGTTGTACAGAACGATGAATTCTGCCAATATTCAGTCAGAAAGAGCTACTTTCACAATATCACTTTCTAGGCAAAGTTAAATATATGCTTTCCTTTGGAATTTAGACTATTGCTGTTCAGATACTGTAGGCTTAAGTGGATATTGTCTACAGATTGTCAATTGGACACTGAGGTGGAGCTTGGTGAAAATTATGACCAATGTACAGTGACCAAGTGATCAAGACATTTATTTCTTGGAGCCCTGAGGCAGGAGAGATGTAAAGAGATGGGCGAATGGAAACACATGCCTCGGACAAAGAAGCTTTACACTCCAGTGGGCATCAGAAAGATTAGGCTGAGCCTGCGGCGCCTGTACTCATGCATACGAGACATGCAATACACATGCATGTGCACACACAAACAGAGACAGGGACAATAAAATCCTCAAGCTTCCCTGATCAGAAAAGATCACAGCCTGAAGTGTGATTGCTTGAATAAGCTGATATAGTGTGTGTGTGTGTGTGTGTGTGTGTGTGTGTGTGTGTGTGTGTGTGTGTGTCTGTGTGTGTGTCTGTGCGTGTGTTTGCATTGTAGGCAAGGTTGTGTATGAAAAACAGAAAGGACAGGCACTGAGTTGGTTTTTATGTGTTCGTTTGTGCCGCGCTAATGCTCCATTTCGTGTGTGTGTGTATAAATACATATATTGTCAGGTCAGTGATAGGCCAACAGCTGTGTCAAAACTCACTGTGCTGGAAGCTTTTATCTGGAATCCAATTGGACGCCCAATGGCAGTGATTCATGGACCCAAAATAACACCCTGGAGTGTTTGTGTTTCCGACTGCTGCTTGCTGTCAGTCCGTCTGTCCAGTCTGTCTGGCTGCCTGTCTGTCACCTAGCCTGGCTGACCTCAGGAGAAAGGTATGCTGAACAAGGCACTGACCTTACTATAGTCCTGTCAACTGCAAGATGAGACTGTGGACGATTCGGTAGAGCTAGACAAGTTGCATATATATACAATCATAAAGTAATAATATGCAGCAGTTGCATATTAATAAATATCAGTTTTCACTACTCATTGGAATTGTGAGTGGTGTTTATATCCTGCTAATCAAAACGTTTACATCCGCTGTTTTAGAGAGTTCCTTCTTACAAGATATTCTCTGGCATCCTTAGGGAGCAGCAGCTGTGGTTTATTTGTAATAATCAGCGGAGGATGTGGGTTAGTGTTGCCCAGTGTGAATGGAAAATCAAAGGAAAGCAGCTCTAACAGAACCTCAAGTTTCATTAACAGAACATTTAAATGCACACTTAAAGTGCATTGCAGAAACATCACAGCAATGACAGCTTTAGTACCAAGAATGGAAACAAAACAGGAAATGTGATTTAAATGTTAAAATACACAAGCAAAATCAAAATAAAAGCATGTACTGTAATCATTAAAAGGGTAAAAGAAGGTCCAAAGGTACTACATTACAAGTTTTGAGAAGATTGTACTTAAAATGTTAATACTGTTCTTAAATTAGACTGATATGTTGTTAAATCAGACACATCAATGCTCAGCAATCACTATTAACACCATCCAGAACCAGATACACCGATCAAGTTCCACATACTGCACATTCACACATCAATCTTCTCAGCAGTAGCCTTATGAGAACCCTTCAACCAAGTTTGAGACAGCATGCACAGCCGTCTAGAAACCTCACAGCATCTATAAGCACTTGATATTATGCATTAAGCAGTTTAGAGTCCACATTCTGACACCACAAAATAGATCATTATTTTACTTAACATGAATTTACTGTTTATCAGTTACAATTAAAGGTAAACTTTTAGACATTTCTGTCAGCTGTTTACACAACACTGCCTCTCTATACACCGTAGTGCTTTTTCCTGACCTGTTCTTCTTCAACCCTTGGTGATACTACCTCATGTAAATTACTCATGATATCATGTAGCCATTACTGTACCTCAAATCAAAACAGGGGCCAAACAGGAATTAATGATTGCCAGATTTTCTTGACTTGACGGTAACAGTTCATGCAGGAATGTATTCTTCTAAATTTATCTAGCTGAATCTGAAGCTCTTTAAGGTTAAACCTCCATCTATTTGTTAGTGTCACAGTGAATGTTGTCGTTAGATATATTCTGCACGAAATCCAATCTTACTTTATCTGTATTTCAGACCCATTGTTACTCTAAACTGACAAGACAAGTTCCATACTATCCTGATTTGTAGTCACACACTTTTGGGGGCTCCGCCATTAAAGTAAACTCTTAAAACACGGAAACATACTGAAATCTTTACAGAAAATCTGAAATTTTAACAATTTTTTTTGTGCTTGCGAGCATTTTCAGGTGGATTTATTCCTCCCTCTGTGAAAGCACAATAGAGATGATAGAGTAAATGAACAACAAAAAGAAGAGGGATCTACAACTGCTACATATAAATAAAAATAAATCTTCATCACCTCTCACAAGAACCTCATAGCAAAGCAAACAGCACAGCTTTTAATTATACCACTGCACATAATAAAGAGAACAGTGGTGCTGATTTATTGTGCTCATTTGACATACTGCACAGTATCAGAGGTGTCAGGTGGCTATACCTTTTTCATGTGCGCTAGATAAGCCAAGGTCAATTCCACCTCAGAGACCCAGATCCAGGTCCACAAAGTCTATAGAGCTGCAGCACGTATGGATATTACAGCAGTGGACCTTGCTGCAAAGTCAAAAAACCTTTGTTGCTTTGCATTTGAGGTTTTGGAGAGAACACAATCAACTTTGCAAGTCAAAATCAGGCTTGTGTAATGTTGCTGTGAAGCACAAGGCACTAAGTGATCAGTAGATTTAACGACGCAGTAATGTTCTTCATATTCTCAAAATAAATAACCGAGAGTTGAAATAAACTGAATCCATGGATTGAAACTACCAGATCAGAAGTAATCAGAAATAAGTTATTAGTTCATCACTTGACAGACTTTTGAACTTGACACAAGATTTCTTGGTTTGCTGATATAGAACCAAGCCACACAAAAACTGGAGCCTGATCATCTCATGGCCTCCACTGAGAATCTCTAAATAGGCCAAGTGTTCTTTTTCTTGCCATACTGTGTTGTGTCACATCAATTATGGAGCAATGAGAAGCACATGCCTGCACTTATTCCATCTGCTTCACTGGGCACTGGACAAGTGCAGAAAATACGTTCGAATGTACTTTGCACTTTACTTACTGTGCCACTACAGAAATGCTCAGCTTCCACTTTTATGTCTAAGTAGCACTAAAAGTTTGAATGTCATAATAATTAACAAAAAGTGGATTGTATTCTCCTTTAAAGACTCTAAGCACTAGTCACCTGGCATATGGATTAGATTGATATTACTACATTGATTAGTTTTTATCCATTTCTCCTTATAGAAAAGAATTAGCACTAGACATCTAGCTTTGTTGAATAACTGATTACTAATTAAAAAGTCGTAACTACTGATAAAAGTATAGAATTGATTATTTTGGCTGATGAAAAGTTGGAAAATCCGGTGGCATTCAATTGAAAACAATGCTATACAGCAATAAGCAATCAAATCTTTAGTTTTGATTAATTAAATAGGAAAATATTTGGTATTTTGATTTAAATGATTGATGGTTTATCATCAAACAGTTCCTGTTGATTGATGAATCAAGGACTGTTTCAGCACTATGTACAATTTGGCTTCCAATCAATTACAATAACTTCAATCTAAGACTTTATGCAGTCTATGCATTGTCAGCAATACATCAGCTGAGTGAAGATGAAACAGTTTAATGGCAGGAATATTGATCCATTCCATGCTGTGAATCTGTATCATCTACGTAGTTATGAGCATGGCTGGCCTCAAGTGCCTAAAAAGGAGCCAGTTCAGCCTGCGACTGTGCAGGTGCAATGAAGAAATACTTGCCACATGCCACCATCAGCTGTGCAGATCAAGCAGTGCAAAGGCTAGGAAGCAGCAACGATTCAGTTTATATTTCTTCACTTGCTCTGACAACACACCGCGTGATTGACTGCCATACTCGAGCGATGGAAGTGAACATTGCATTGAGGCTGTACCCTGTTTCAAATTACAGTCAGACATCAGCTCAAACCTGGAGTCTCCCTGGAGGATGAGCTATAGAGCTCTTCTACAGCAGCCTGCAAGAGACCATTAGGGTAACAACCTCAGATTTTGCATCGCAGCATCCATGTTCTATAAGCCGCACAGAATGATGGCTGGTGCACCCCTCTACATGACATTATGATGATGACAGCAGCACCAGGGCAACCGGTCTCAACATCCACCTTTCTCTGTGCCATCTGCAAATGTCTGGTTAGATTTTCTCCATCCTTGCATGTTAGCGCATACTGCTGACAGTAAGAGGGGAGATCCTGTATGGCAAGCCTCTCCTTACCTGGCAATCGGGCAAGATAATGGCTGCTGTCACCGTAGCTGACAGGCGGTGAAGTGTAATTTCTGCAGAATTCTGCACTCTGGTAGTACGCTGCATCCCCGTTCTTCATCTGCAGCGCCATCATCGCAGTCACATCCCTTTGCCAACTTCTTCTCTCCAAAAACCGGGCGGCCAGGCTGGATTACAGTCCGTACCACACGCGCAGACACTGAGGCTTTCACCGGAGGGGTGATTTCCAGAAGACAGCGAAATACAGAAAGTGTCTGTCAGTAACAATGCACATTAATCCGCAACATGTAAACACATTGTATTTGTACGTTCACATCAAACGGCGACAACGGTGCTCTTATTCGCGGAATTTGATTTTTAAAGCCGTAAACCCCTGCTGGGGCTCCTCCAGCATCCCTTTGCTTCTTGGTACAGTCCATTTCCGATGCCACCGCTGCTGATTTGCATGGGTGGCAATCATGACACATTGTATAAATATGTTACACCTCTTTGATAGACTCAGATCCCCGGACGGGCTATTAATGAGACACAGTTCTGCTGGGAAAACAGCAGAACTGTGGCCTTGTGATGAAAATACTGATATGATATGGACATAAAAAATTAAGTTTTAATCAAAGATAATCAAAAAGGAAGCCTGTGGAATTGCACGGGGAAACAAGGAGGCCTATTATTAGCCTATTCTTATCAGCTATTGTTATTGTTTTATTATTTTTTTTGTCTTCCTGCTACACTATTTATAATGTTTTATTTTGTAATGTTACTAAGACCGTAACGTGCGGTTTGAATGAGCCAGAGAAAAAAGCCAGTAGCCTATATAGGTATTGCTTTTTTGTACACAAGCCTATATAGATATTAGATATTATTATTATTATTATTGTGATGTTTGTAGTTATCTTCTGCCCACGTGACATACATTACTGCGATATTGTTATATTTTATGTTCATAGGCTCCTCTAGGCTACCGAGTCTATGTTTGTAATAGGCATATATGGTTATGACTTAAATGTCATCAGTTAAGATAGCAGAATTTTATTGTTTCTTTTTTATTTCATTTAAACTGTTATATTTTTTTTATTTCCTTGCCTTTAAAAATGGCATTTGTGCTGCTGTAAAGTGTGACTTCATGAGATCAATAATGTCTTCTCATGAAAGTATAGGCTACTTTACAGAAGCAAGTAGGCATAGGGGTCACGCCCACAAACACTAAAACATAAATATCATTTTTTTTATGTAATTATTTGTGTACCGTGATGATGTTATCCTGTATTAACATTTGAATGAAAAAAAAAACTGTGGTTTTGTTGGTTGAACTTGTTATTTGGTACCACTAATATATCACCCACGGTTTCACTCTCTCTGCGTGTGTGTTTGTATGTTTTTAGAGGAAGGGAGGAGGGCCCCAGACAGACAGCGTGGCTGCATTGCCGCAGCAAGACAATCTGTCCAGTCTACCAGCAGCTCAGCTGCTTATAACATCCTCAGGGTGAGCCCTTCTGACTGGGCATTTTGGACACATTCTCTGTAATTGTGCACCTTGCAATCCACAAAACAAAAGGATTTATTGTCGGTGTGGATTAACTGGTACTGTCACGGATAGCTGGCTCATAGGCTGACAGACGTCAAGATAGCAGCCTGCTTTGCCCGGGCACCGGGAGACACCAACCGGCCGTAGGGAACTGGAGGGGTCGGCTAGCTGGAAGGCTGGCTAACTGGCATTAGCCGGCGAGAACCTTTCAGACCTGCATCCTCAAACCCTTTGCATCGTGGTCGCCAACTCAAAGGGGTAAGATAGTATGCTAACATAGCTATAGTTGTATCTTTCAGCAGACCTATGGCTTGTGTTTAATGCTGGCAACATTAACATATTTTCCAACAAGGAGTAGACAGGCTCAGCGTTAGCCGTTAGCTAATGAACAAGAGAGGTAGCTAACGTTAACCGTTAACCAAACTGGTAGAAATTAATCGAAAGATAAATATGTGTAAGACAGAGCAATCATGGTTATCATGTGGTTGCTAACAAATGATCTAGCCAGGTTAAGTCATCGTTAAATATAATGTTATGTACTTATACCGTTATGTTGTTTATGTTGTGTAGCTGTCATCTCTGAGCTGTCATTTCCAAACATCTAACATTAGCTAACCTGCTGCTAGCCAGTGTGAATCACGCGAACTGCTATAACAGATGTGATGTTGTTTGTGTTTTTAATTTCCTCTTCTCGCAACACATATCTCAGCAGCGTGAAGATGGAGTGAAAGATGAAGGGTGGAAGTGGCCCATCATCACAGTAAGGAGGGCTTCTCTCTGAGGTATGCTCCACAAATTCCTCTTGTTTCCATCTGAACCACAAGTCTTCTCTTGACTTTATCCAATGTTGTCCTCTTTCCTGTAACTCACAATTGAAATTGCAAAGCTAATGTAATAGACAAAATGAAACTGAAAATCAATCATGGTTTTCTTAAAACCACATTGTTGTTCAACTGGTCAAACCTTCTGTTAACCACAAACATATTACTATGTGGTATAGAAACTGATCATATGTTAGATCTTGTGCCACTGCTAGCCTATAGAACTAAGTACATTTGTGTTTCACTATTCAAAGCAAGCTTGAGTCTAGGCCAATGTTTCCCCACTCCCCACATCCTGTGTTGTGAGGAAGCTTCCTCTTTTGTCCTAAAGTGCTTAGCTGCATCCTGATCAGGGTCACAGATCGCAGAACTGCTCAATGGGTGGTTTGTTCTCACTCAGGGTTTACTGTTTTAGCTTGTTTTTGTACATACTCAATGCTAATATTTTTTTTTGTAAATGGAGTTTGCTGTTTATTCAGTGTCATGCATTTCTGTCCCTGTCACAACTCTAAACTTTAACTGACTGGACAATTTCCGATCAGTTGGAGGATTAATGTCATAATTTCAGAGGGTGCTGTAGGGTTTTTATAGGTGATTTTTTAAAATTTGATTTGTGATATGATGTGATGATATGATGATCAGTTTTACATTATAGTTTTCACTTTCATCACAAAAACATTAAAATGTTTTTAGTGTGATTTTTTGCGGGGTTGTGTGCCCTTTGTGGGATCCCCAGTTGCTCTTTACTTTGGAGTATTTTTTAAAGTTGATCAAAGACATATGCAAATTTATTTAAATTACTGAAACAAAATCTGGGTGGTGATTCAGAGGCTAAAGTGCTGTAAACAAAAAGATTTAAACCTACCACAATGTCATGGATATGCCCTGTAGTGTCCTCCCAGTTAATCAAACCCACAAAACATTTCAATGTCCGGTGCAGAGGGGCATCTTGCCAGGTACCTTAACCACTCTATCTGATGTGGGAGCCAGGGGCAATGTTGTTGAGCGTCTAGATTCCTGGTGGATAGAGCTGGGCAATCTGAAAGTAATATTGGTATTGTAAAATTAGGTGACATACCATGTGGGATTTTGATTATTATAGTGACAGATCTTAAATGTTGTTCTTTACTGGTCTGAGAGGCTGTATTACAGCGATACAATGACCTTAACTTATTTGAGTGCTCAAGCTCAGTGAAATGAACAAGGGCTTCTACCTGCTTGGCCACTACATTCTTATGCTATTTGCTAATGGGTTTTTTTCTCAAAGAAGATTAGATAAGATATTGTTCAAACACACAAATTGTTTCTTCGTTCGTTAGGTTAAAGTAGTGTGGTTTAATCAGTAGTCAATGATGCCTTCTTTTAAATATTGTAATATGTTATCTCCAGTATAGTTTCTCTTATTCTCATAATGTTGTAAGACAGACTTTGTCAAAGTTAGGAAACACCACAAAAGTACGTGACAGTTCAGTGCTGTTTTGAGGTGGCGTGGTACGTCTTCTAGATTATTAGTACTGTTTTTTTTGCTCAAAATATCTTGTTGTACTTAATATGTTAAACTAATTTAGTCTAGACAGCTAATATAATCCAGGCAGAGTAGCTTCCACAATTTCATAATGAATAATATAATATTTTAATAATATTTCTTCCCGTTCTGAGAATTGTTTATGGCTGTAAGTTGGCTGGAGGTTAAATTAAGGCATCATGTTGTAATTTTTTAAGAGCCCACATAAACACATTCTTTCCCATCACTGTGTCACAATCCACAGTTGAGTCACTGTGTTGTTTTTGTGTTTGGAAGTGTTGGACCTGAGCAGTCTGTCTAAAATAGTTGTGCTACTGAAATCCCTCAAGACTCTGTTGTTTTGAATACAGGTTTAACTCACATCCTTATAATAACTGGAAGATTACTATATGGTTATTGTTATTGGTATTTTATAATCTTATAGTTAGTATTGGTATGGGTGTGTTGTAGCATTGGGAATAGTTAGAATTTCTTTAAGTATGTTTTGCTACGACTTGATTACGTGTGAAAGTGGTATAAGAGACATATCGATTTTAGAGGTTGGCACTGGCAAGGCTTGTGATGAAGGTCTTTTCCTGGATTTGATTTTACTATAAGAGTATCATTTAGTCACTTGACCTTGCTGAATTCCCCAAAAGGTAGTGACTTATTTTGTGTTGAGCCAAGTACAGTTCAGCAGAAGAACCCATCTAACTTGGAGTGGGGAAGGGACTTTTTCAGATTGGATTTGATCTGAACAGAAAGATGGGTCAACATCAGATGGATAAACAGCTCATATGCATCTCCCTGTGTCTGTCAACCAGTCATACAGAAGCAGAGCGTTTCTCTCAGGATTGTGGCAGATGGTGGTGCTGAGTTATCACTAGTGGTATTTGGTAATGGTAAATGGTATTTCAGACTGAAGTTTCACTTGCTTATAAATTAACTAGAAATTCTCTAAATATGCAGATAGTACCGCAATGCTGTTGCCGGCACTGGGGCAGTTGATCGTTTCAGGCAATAGTACTTGACATCCAAATTAAGAAATTCAGGGCATAATATAGTTCACCTTGACATGAGATTGTTGCACTTGATGATTTGCAGAATGAGTTAAAATGTATTTTCTTTCATGAGATAACTGGGAAAGTTAATTGTTCAGTTAATTGTTCAATGTAACAGGAGTTTAACAATTCACAATTAACAATTATTCCCAGTTTAACAACACAGAGGTATAAAACTGCCTCTTACTGTACTGATTAGATGATTCACATTACTTTGACAAGTCGAGATGTCCTCCAGCACGGTTTTTAGTTTTGCACATGTAGAGACATACACACACATGTATGTATTTTTGACGACATGCATAATGGGTCTCTTAAAGTGGGTCTAAATTAATGAGTTAAATCTATGTACG